GCTTCAGAGCTGTAGGTGGCAAAGTTCGTTGGATGAGGATGAAACTGGCATTGGATGGTGTGGATGGTGTGGATGGTGTGGATGCGGATCATGAACCAAGATTACTAACAGTACTAACATCATGATTTTATGCGGTCGATTTGGTACAGCAACTGGTGCGGATTCCAAGGTCCATATGGTGGAAAATCTATGCAGGCTCACCCCGAAATACACGACAGAGTACGACTCAACAGATCTGGTTCTGCGCTCCAAAAGTGCGGTTCAAAGGGCAGAGATGCAGGTCCTAGGAATGTCATGAAAAGTGGCGGATCCTCGCTATCCCCTCCATGTTTGTAGATGTTTTACCTGTTGAAAGTTGGAACCCTTCCATTGCCAGGTCAAATGGCTGGAGGGTAAAGTTAGGGGGCCTTAACCCAGGGATTTCCAAGGCATTCTGGGGTGAACTCATCCTCCTTGACTCTGTAGACAGACAAAAAAAAAACTGTTTGGGCTCATTGTTCATGACCGCTCGAACAAACATGATTCATTCGCTTTATAAACCCCATCATCCATCCTATAGATATCTATAGAAGATTCTATAGATATCTCCACAAATAGATATATATATATATATAATACATATATATATATATACAATATTATTATTTCTGCATATTATTTCTGTCATAAACCATTAGTTACCTCTATCATGTTTTTTCCCATCGGACACGGCATCTCTGCCTGGGGATTTTTGGAGTCTCCGGCACCTTGGTGGGCGTTCCCTGGGAACGGAGAAGCTCCATCAACGGGACGTTTGGTGGACGTTTGGTGGGGCAAAAGATGAAAAAAAATATGTGAAAATGGAGAAAATCATCCAAAACCATAGGCAATCATCCAAAAATCTATAATTACTAAAAGATGAAGAAAAACCAATAGAAACCAAGAGAAAATCATCCAAAAACCATACTGATGAAGGTTTTTTACAACTGATAAAGATTGATGAAGATTGAAAATGTCATCCAACAACATCAGCAGATCTATCCTAAATCTGGAAAAAATCGTCCGACTGACATCGTTTTGGTCAATCTTCCAGTTGCCGAAACGCAAGAGTCGAGTGGCCGTCCCGAAGGTCCTATGGGGCTGCGGAAAGCCGCGCCAGCGCCAGACAGCTTCGAAGTCCATGGAGCATGGTCAAAAGAGGTCGAGGCTAGGCTAAGATACTCCAATATTTTGGCACATGATGGTAGGGGCATTTAAAGGTACATGTTTATGCTGTTGAGTCTTGGATTCAACAGGACTCTAGGGTTTTGATCCATGATCCATGTCATCCCCACCAGAAGGTTAATAAGTTAACCGTTTGTGGGCCAATGCCTGGTTGTAGTTCAAGGAACTGCTAGTCACTGGCCGCAGGGGGAGTATCAGCTAAACTCCGGATTAATACCCTGCTTAGTTAATTCGGGTATGGTATCCGTACCCATAAATAGTATTAAATAGTGATGTTTGCTATTGAAATAGCACTTCCCCATTCAACAGTCCAGATCGATTCAAGGTTGACATTACACTTGGTGATTTGTGCCAAATGAACTTCTGTCGATATTCTTCACGAAGGATGTGTTGGGTGACCATGAAAACCATGAAAGCCATGAAGTGGTGAGAGGCCGCAGTAGTAAGCCATGGTAAGCCATTTTCCGATCGAATGGCCCCAGGCGGTTTATTCACCATGGAGGAAGCTGATGTAATGGCGAAATTAAGAAACTCTCGCGGAGTTTGCCACCCTAAGTCCCAGAGCCCCCAACGTCAGCGGGCAATTCATGATTATCTGATGATTCACAGTGGCAGACGCATGCAAGATGATAGCAATACCATCGCCTCCAACTGCGTGTTGCTGCTTCAGCGACGATTGCAGATGGTAAAAGGTACAAGCTGCAGTTGTCGCATGGACTGTTGGATCTACTTGGCAACGCCGCGACTTGGAGCGTATGAATTGCAAGATCATACCATGAAGTCGGAACGTATTCAACAGGGCAAAGCTCAATAGCGTACTACCCACTTATAACAGGCTTGCTCTTTGGCAAGGGGCTAGGACACTCTGTGGCCTGCAGCTCGCTGAAGCATTTCCTTTGCAGATAAGGTTCTGGAACCGACTCCAAATGGCACCTTTCGTTCGAATTAATTGCCCACTTCAAAGAGGTGACACATCAACTCATATGAGCACTGGTTCGCACACACTTCATGAGCCACTCATTGAGCCCCGTCTTTGTGACCAAATGTAGCTATGTTCCTCCTTTTTGCTGCTACGGTTGCTTATCTCAGTTAACCTAAACTATCTCAAAAGTCTGAAACTAAATTTTCTAACGTCATCTCACGTCCCCCTTTTTCCGACCTATATTCCAATGATTTCCTCCCAGTGACCCACTTTGCTGATCTTGGACCGACCTCGCCATGGCGGCCATAGCGGCCATGGCGCTACGGCCATCAACGCCATCGCAGTTGTCGCCGCCGCACCACGGCCTCGCGGTCCAACGGGGTCCAGCCGCGAAGAGCAGAACCAGAGGCACTGATGGATTGAAAATGGGAAAACATCGGAAAACACTTCTGGGATCTTCTTGGTATCATAGGGTATCTAAGATTGAAGGAGTATGAAGGAGTAATCAATTATAGGAAATATATTGAAAGATGTGAAATCATCCAAGGCATGGCGGCCATGTTGTACTGTCTGTCGTTTTCAGCAGATCTCCGGTAAGATGTGCACCGTCCTGTTGGTGAGGTGCCATGCTTCGTTTTGCCGCGGTTTTCTGTGGCAACTTGGTGAGTTTATTCAGTCCATGTCAGTAGATCATAGTACATCTTGTGCATGTTTTATCGTTGTAATGTTGGGCTCTGATTAGCCCCCCCTCAACAATTTTAGTCTACTCAATAACTCGGCATTTTCTGCGCCCCCCCAACAATTTTTAGGATAGTCAACTTAAGTAAGGATTTCAATTGACATCAATCTACATTCAATCGATTTTCCTTTTCAACCTCAAAAAAATCTATTGATAAGAAAGGATTTCAATTAAAATCAATCTACTTTCAATTGATTTTCCTTTTCAACCTCAAAGAAATCTATTGATAAGAAAGGATATCAATTGAAATCAATTTACGTTCAATTCATTTGGATCTACTTTCAATTGATTTTCCTTTTAAGCCTCAAAAAATCCTTTTATAAGAAAGGATTTCAATAGAAACCAATTTGCTTTCAATCTGCTTTTAAATGATGTTCCTTTTCAACATCAAAGAAATCTATTGATAAGAAAGGATATCAATTGAAATCCATTTACGTTCAATTCATTTGAATCTACTTTCAATTGATTTTCCTTTTAAGCCTCAAAAAATCCTTTTATAAGAAAGGATTTCAATAGAAACCACTTTGCTTTCAATTCATTGGAATCTACTTTTAATTGATGTTCCTTTTCAACATCAAAGAAATCTATTGATAAGAAAGGATATCAATTGAAATCCATTTACGTTCAATTCATTTGAATCTACTTTCAATTGATTTTCCTTTTAAGCTTCAAAAAAATCCTTTTATAAGAATGGATTTCAATAGAAACCAATTTACTTTCAATTCATTTGAATCTACTTTTAAATGATTGTCCTTCTAAATCCAAAAGAACATTGCCCCAAAAAAAATTGTGCACAATAGGGTACCATCGAAACAATTATATACATTATTGAGGATCTGGGTCACTCATGGGGTACCCCTTGAAAAATTGTTTGGGTGCCGTTTTTTTTGATAAGGGTTTAATAAAGCATCTAATTATTTGGGAAACCTTGCATTTTCAAGGCGTTAACATGGATATGGCTTTCTAAAGTAAATGGACCAGCTTTACCCAAAGAAAGGTGGATAAAACGTCTTGTGTTCTTTTTTCACCTCATTTTTTTTTGCACAATGGGGTGCCATCCAAACAATTACATTATTGAGGATCTGGGTCACTCATGGGGTACCGTACCCCCTTGAAAAACTGTTTGGGTGCTGTTTTTTTGATAAGGGTTTAATAAGGCATCTAATTATTTGGAAAACCTTGCATTTTCAAGGCTTTAACATAGATATGGCTTTCTAAAGTAAATGGACCAGCTTTACCCAAAGAAAGGTGGATAAAGGTGGGAAAACATCTCACAATAGGGTACCATGACACTAATCGGGGCTAACATTATCTGTTTTGAATTATATGTGACTGCAGAGAATGGAATGTCCCTATAGGGGCTAGGTTTGTGGCGCTAGATATCGCTATATAGATACTTTTACATAGCAATGAAAGTGAAATATTGTCAGGCTCGATGCTTTCTCGGCCTCTTGCTCTCTTGCAACTGTTGTTCCCTGTCCTGCTTGGGCAACTCCACAGTAGCCTACTTTTCGCAAACCTCTTTTTAGGTTTAGTTGGAATATTGATTGATGTGTGTTTTTCATAGTTGTACATGTTCGTTCGGAGCTGGGACTTGTGACAAGCCCTGCAGGAATCGCGTAATGACCAGTGGAACGGGATGACAAGGGTGGGAGGGGATGGCTTCATCGAAAGTGCTTTTTCCAGACAGTTAGTTTTGCACATTTCAATGGATTGGTTCAAGGGCCGGGAAAGTCTACAGGAGACCATGTTTTTCATGCGTTCTATTCTCAAATTGGTTGGGTTCGCCCGGCAATCAATTTTTCCACCAATTCTGGGAACATACCCGTTACGAGATACCTTGAACATGTAATGAATATAGTGAAGATTCGTTCTATTTATACATACATAATCATACATACATACATATATATATATACATATACATGCAGTTTTGGCGTTTTTCAGCGTCAACATGTAGACTTGGACGCAACCGAGGTATCGTCTCGGCGCGCAGTTTTACGGCCACGAAGGCTGTAGGCGCGATAGAGATTCAGGGACAGTGGTGGCAGCTTAATGCGATCCAGATCCATGGAGCTCATTTGGAAAAAACAATGCTTATTCTTCCAGACCCATCAGCAATTATGATCGAAGGAAGTTTAGAAGTCAAACTTCGAACAATATGGATAATATGGACAGATATGGACAGATGAAAAAGCAAAGGAGAGTCAGAGAAGAGAAGAGAAGAGAAGAAGCAAGAAGATCAGAGAAGAGAAAGAGTCAGAAGAAAGAAGATGCAGGCGTGCGAAAAGGTAGAAAAGTCGCAAATCACTGTGTTTTTCCAATGTTTTGGCGCTCCAGAGGGTCAAAAAGTAGGCTAGCTAAAGCGGCGGGTGCGGAGCCGTTTGAAGAGATGATAAATGAAAAATTGCACGCCGTTGTGGCGCGAAGCACGTTTCGAAGTCAAAATGTACAAAACACTACATGTTCGAACCACTTTTGGAAGTTGCGTGTCGAAAAAGTGCCCGCTGCTGTGGCGCGAAGCACATTTCCAAGTCAAAATGCACAAAGCACATGTTCGGACCACTTTTGGAAGTTGAGATGATGAAAAGTGTATGCCGTTGTGGCGGGAAGCACATTCGAAGTCAAAACGTGCAAAACACCATGTTCGGACCACTTTTGGAAGTTGAAATGATGAAAAAAATTACGCCGTTGTGGCGGGAAGCACGTTTCGAAGTCGAAATGTACAAAACACACCATGTTCGGAGCACTTTTGGAAGTTGAGATGTCGAAAAAGTGCAGGCCGTTGTGGCACGAAGCACATTTGGAAATGAAAAGTATCAAAAACTGATCGTGTCGGACTACTTTTGAAAGTTGGGATGTGGTTTTGCGCGGCATGCGCAAGGGATTCGGCACCTTGCCACAAGTGAGCAAAACGTTGGTAGTGGTAGTGGTAGTGGTAGTGTTGGTGGTAGTAGTGGTAGTTGTGGTAGTTGTGGTAGTTGTGGTAGTTGTGGTAGTTGTGGTAGTTGTGGTAGTTGTGGTAGTTGTTGTAGTTGTGGTAGTCGTGGTAGTTGTGGTAGTTGTGGTAGTTGTGGTAGTTGTGGTAGTTGTGGTAGTTGTGGTAGTAGTGGTAGTAGTGGTAGTAGTGATGGTAGTAGTGATGGTAGTAGTGATGGTAGTAGTGGTAGTAGTGGTAGTAGTGGTAGTAGTCGGAGTAGTCGGAGTAGTCGGAGTAGTAGGAGTCGTAGGAGTCGTAGGAGTAGTAGGAGTAGTAGGAGTAGTAGGGCACTAGGAGTAATAGGAGTAATAGGAGTAAAAGGAGTAATAGGAGTAGTAGGAGCAGTGGGAGTAACAGGAGTAACAGGAGTAACAGGAGTAACTGGAGTAACAGGAGTAACAGGAGTAACAGGAGTAGTAGGAGTAGCAGTAGAAGTAGTAGTAGGGGTAGTAGTAGGAGTAGTAGTAGGAGTAGGAGTAGCACAAGGAGGAGTAGGAGCACTTCCCCCTGGCAATTTTTAACACCGCAAATTTCGGAAAGGTTGTGGCCCTTCCAAAACAAGTCTAAAACGCCTCTAAAACAAGTCTGAAACGCCTCTTGTTCTGTTTCAATTACTGAAATCATGTCTTAGTCTTGTGGCTCTTGAAGAATGCAATGAAGTGTGTTTTTTGAGCGACCTGCTAATAAACATCCTCGGCGTGTTACTTTCTTCTCGGCGCATTTAGTATTTGTTTTCAATAGGCGGAATTAAAAAACAACGGTCCAGTGGTGCGTCAAGACGCGCCTGAAATGCTGCCAAGTGACGTCATGTTCTATTTTCTATGGTTTTGGCGGTGTTTTTGTGTTTTTTTCATCTGCTTGTGTCATGTAATTTCATGTTTGTTTTTTTAAAATTTTGAGCGAAATTTCCATGGCACCACAGTTTCGCGCATGTCGCACGGGGCTACAGCGAAATGCATCTTTTTAAATGTTGGTGGTAGTTTCGCTACAGTGAAATGGCATTTTTTTACCCACATAATTTACTTTTTTTTGGACTTGGATTTTTCACATAGCAGTTACATCATGTTGCACGGGGCTACAGCGAAATGAAGGTTTTTAGTCTTTTTCGTGTTTTCGTCACACCGAGGTGCACCTTTTTTGATGTATGGTATGGTTGATTCTAGTTTCATAAACAATGAGTTGTGTGTGTGTGTTCGAATGTGTTTTCAGCTGAATACGGCATTTGAGAGCATTCGAAGAATCCACAGCTCAAAGAAGCTGACACGGACGCTTCTTTTTTGTCCTGGCGAGTGAACTCATTCGAACAGCCAAGAGCTGTTTTTGTTTTTGTCCAAGACCAGGAAGTCTTTGGGTTCATGTCCCAAGGCAAGTTTCACTTTGTTCCGGACGTAACATCGGGAGCGTGTCGAGGATTGCAAGAGAAGATCTATAGAGCGTAGCATCATGAGCGTGTCGAGGATTGCAAGAGAAGATCTATAGAGCGTAGCATCATGAGCGTGTCGAGGATTGCAAGAGAAGATCTATAGAGCGTAGCATCATGAGCGTGTCGAGGATTGCAAGAGAAGATCTATAGAGCGTAACATCGGGAGCGTGTCGAGGATTGCAAGAGAAGATCTATAGAGCGTAACATCATGAGCGTGTCGAGGATTGCAAGAGAAGATCTATAGAGCGTAACATCGGGAGCGTGTCGAGGATTGCAAGAGAAGATCTATAGAGCGTAACATCGGGAGCGTGTCGAAACGAAGATGCAACAGGAAGAAGGCGACAGAACGCTATTAAGCCCCCCCCCCACCCCCACCCCCAACCCCCACCCAACCCGTCGATCCGCGTGACAGGTGTGGAGAAAAATACACATAAACGCGCACTGCCAAGCAGAAAAGCAAAGCATAAAACGCGTCGTGACGTACGACTGGGGCCAAAAACAAATAAAAAAAGGCCCCCGGGCGGCGACATTCTTTTTAATTGAGGGGGGTTATTAATAGGAGGTCGAGATTACAACTCCAACCACCTTTCGGTCCATCAGTGGATTCCCTCTGCCATCCATGCATAACAAGAACTCACCTCTCCTATAGCGTCCTACCTTTGGAACTTCCACCACCGCCTTGTGCGGTACTAGTGGTACATGCGAATATATACACACACATACATATATATGTATATAAAAAATATATCATTACATACATACATATATACATATGCTTATAAGGGTTTTTTTAATATATATATATGTAATATGGACAGCATGTTTGATTTGCATGACTGTCGCAATGGACGATCGAGGTCCCACAAATCAGTTTGCTGATGAACTGTTCAACCGATTATAGCCATAGATCATCATAGGTCACAAAAATCAACAAGTTTGATTATTTTGAGTAATGAATTACCATTACCCCCTTCCATGCTTGATGATTTTCAAAAAAAAAGGTTGAGTGATTGTTTCTACCTATATATGTTTTTAACGTTAGTCAGTGGAAATGCTGGAAGTTTCAGACTAGATCTCATTCAGCTTATATCGGGAGCCTTCGCTGTGTGAATTTACACATGGCAGCGGAAAACTCCCCATTTGTAGATTTCTAGTGTGGGTTTGTCTGAGATGAGGGTAGATGTACCAACAAAAAAACATGTTTTTCACTTTCCCTATGAAAATGACCATAAATTCATCATTGAGTGTAGATTCCACTACATTCTCCTTTTGTGACCAGTTAGAGTGAAAAAACTTAGGGCTAGAAAGAGAGTGAGGGAGCAGTTAGATTTAGATCCCCATTTTTGCTGCATCCAGGTACCGACCGTGCGAGCCGCACGGCCAGCACGGCCACTGAAGCCGGCGACGGGAGGAAGGTGCAGATCAAGGTGCAGGGTATTGGGCGCCGCTTGATCCAATGGGATGAGCGATCCATATTCCCGGAAAGACTAGGAAACCAGTTGGGGTAGGAGTTTCCCAGCCGTATATTTGACCAAACATTGGGGCGTCACCCACAAAACTGGTGGCCTCACTGGATATACCATGCGATTGCGGGCTGGAAATGTGTTGGTTCTTTCTGAGCATGTCAGATGGAATCAAACTTGGAGATCCTGCTTCACCCACAGGATTCCAAATCCACCCATGTTAGCCTCATGTCAGCGCTGAAAGCATCAAGCCTTTGCTGAATTGGAGATGATGTCACTTGATGTCCCTTGATTTTGTTGTCGCCATTCACATCATTTACATCAATTACGATGAATTAACAATGGGCTCAATGTAAGCGAACATGTTGCTATGGTATACATGGCCCATTTATAAATTATTTGGTTACCTATAGAAAAAATGTGATTCTTATGTTCCATAATTAACTTAGATTTCCAGAGGGTACAGATAGGTTGTTTATTTGTTCGTCCATCACGAAAACTGGGAATGATGATCCCCAACTGTGCCAATCAGCCAATACATTCAGAGTTTAAAGCCACATAACTCCATCAGCCAGTCCAGTTCATTTCTTACATGCTTCAAAGAGTGGACCAGCACACAATGCACATAGCCATTGTAACAGCCCTAGAACCCCTAAAATTCAATGTCCTTACAAGGGAGAGGGGACCCCAATGTCAAGAAACACTCAGCACCTCCAAAATCCAGACCAAGAGCTAACATGGAGTCACTAAGCCGCTGAAAGAGTTGACGTGCCAAAAAAAAATCAGCTGAAGGTTGCAACTGGAAGATCATTTGGTGAGTTCCCTGGTAACCAACCACCATCAACCGCAAACATTGTAGGGTATCAGCTACACACTAACAAAGTCGTTCAAACCTTTGCTGCAGAAAGGCCGAGAAAGTGAAAGAAGTGTGACTCGCTTCTGAAACCGGGTCGCCTGCTTCCTGGTTTCAAAGATTGACGTCCTACTTTCAATCATAATTTATGGTGACAAATGGACTCCGGTGATGAATCTAGATCCAAGCCATCCAGTATATTATCTACAGTATACATATATACGTGTATACATATATATATATTTATTTATTTATGTGATGCATTGTGATGCTTAAAATGATGATGATGATGATGATAATAGTACTGGCAACAAGCACACAGATACTGTATACATATTACGGTACACACGTGGATCATTGGGTTCCCACTTGATTGATGCTTTTCAGGACGGATGGACATGTCCCGGCGGCAGATTTGGGAGTGGGCCCTGCAATAAATGCCACGGAAGAACCAAGTGATCGAACTCTGTTTCGGTGGCCCACTGGGACCCGACAACATGTGGTCAAATATCACATCAAAGAAGTGCTGGAGACTGTCATACGCACTGTTCTGGGGTAGAAGTAGCACCAAAACAATGCCTAATGTCACTTCAAGAACCCGCACATAAACAATTTCTGTATAAATGCATTTTTACACCAGTATATGATATGATTATGCATGTTCTACAATACATATTTTTGTGTAATCATATATGCAGATGCATTTGGTTCCTTGAACGCACGTATCATATCTCCACTTCCACTGAGGAAGCTGCAAGACGCTGAGATGAAGATCATGGATGATCTGATGCGGCGCCGCGGATCTCCGCAGATCCAGTTGGGGATCAATAACTGCTGTACAACCATTTTAACCATGGGGAGAAAAACCAGCAGGGTATAATGGAATATCATGGTTATAATATGTTATAATTCTTCCATGGTTCTAACCAGGATAATTGTTATAATGGTTTTATAGTCATGGAATAATTATGGGATTTGGAGATTAACCATGATCAACCTATAAATTACTGGCAGGATCAAACCCAGAAAGTAACCGCTTGGGAAGTGGACTTACAAGTCCTGCGCCATGTATATATACCCGAAGTCAAACATGGCCCATGTATATATGCTATAAAGTTGCATTTAGATCGGGGATTTCCCAGCTAACCATTTTGATTATATAACGGAGAGTAACTGGTGTATAACCCATCATCAATTAAAAATACAGTCAAAATACTAAAACAGCAATTATGGAATGATTGAATGGGATATAACACATCTACCATTTTGATTCATTTCGGGACGATTGAAACACCCAATTGTGGCAATATTGGGGATGGTACATTCTTGGGTTTACCAAGTTACAGGCATTGCCATTTTTTGTATGCATCTCAAGCTGCGCAGCTACAACGTACGCTGCTTGCTTGGTCAGTGCTGCTCCCAGATTCTGAAGGGAACAGCGAAGGGACACAACATAGGGCACCTGCCCTTAGGATGAAACCATGTGAAATTCATAAAGATATGATGCTACTCATCAAGTCAGATACATGATGCATCACCCCTATTACAGTTTTACGGGATCAATGAGGGATATGTGATCTCAACAGCATCTCAACAGCATCCCATGTTTTGATGAGAATCCCTTATTCTCCTGGTTGTCCCAATTTGTACTGTAACGTTGATTCTTCATGGTTGTAGGTACCCTTGTTCCTTGCTTGAATCGTTAAAAATGGCCATGCTTACATGTTCGATGGCTACCTTGTACTGCAATTTTTGCGGTTTCAATCCGGGTGTTTGTTCTGTTTGGCTCACAACCCAGATCGAACTGTTGCTTTCACAGGAAAGAGGCCGTGAACATCTTGGCTGCCGGGGCGGAACGGACTGAAGAGGTCAAGGGCGCTAAAGGCCCGGTCCCAGCAGATGGTTATCCCCTTGGAAATCCTGGCTTAGGATTAATTGGATCTACCGACTATGATTCACTGTAATCGATGTTCTTTTGAGGAGCCCTAGAGTGTGTAATTGTTCAAGATTAAGGGGATGAGAGTAGTGCATTCACCAGCAAACTGTAGGTAAGTAAACGGGTTAAAATGGAGATCTCACCAAAAAAAACATGGGAATAGAGCCACCTGCTCGCCTTCAGCTTCGCTGAACCCCATGATGGCCACGTCAACAGCACTTGAGCCGCCAGACATGGTCGTGCTCAATCTTGGGATTGTTGGTAGCGGACATGGATCTTGGACAGCAGGGAAACCTTTGCAATTAATATTGGTAATATATGATGTAATATCTAATATCACAATTACTCACCATTGTCTTAATAATGAAACTAAATAATTAGATGCTGGTAGTGAATTGAATGTCAGCCAAGATTCCTGCTGGCAAGGCCTTTGGTATGCTTACATGAAGCCGACTCGCATGGGCACTTGGAAGAATCAGGCAAGATGCTTGGCAGAATTGGAGCTACTGTAGATCCCCTTCTTTGTAGCAAGGGGCGGTTCCTGCATATAGCTGCTATAAGCGGACAAGTTATATTATATGTTTAAAGTTCCAGCCACTGGATGCCTGCAGGGCACGTCTCTGGATTGGTCGCAGCTTAGGATTGAAATGCAAGTTGGAGCTGGCTAAATCTGGTGCAACTCGGATTTGATTTTTTTCCGCAGCCACAAACCTAATGATTCTCATGGCCTCGTGCCTCAAAATGCAGCCTGGAGATGAAATTGCCAAACAATCATGTTTGGAGTTACATGTGGAATGTTCCCCTGGATTCTCAGGGTGCATGCTACATGCGTGTGACCTTTGCTATCGCCACCCGATGAGTTTCAAATGCAGGTTGCATGCTTTCGTTGCATTGGTCGTGCCCCTAAATTTTCGGGAAGGCTTTTATCCGATATCCCAACCTGGATTCTCTTCGCAATGTTTGCTGTCCATCCAACCCATCCCAAATTACACACATATTCATATATATATATATGTTTATATATAATTATTTAAATGGGTGGTAGTTTTATGATATTCTAATTGGGATATTATATAACTAAAAGTAGTTGTACACATATATATATATGTATGTATACATATATGTACGGTATATATTCATAATTCTTGGGTTTCGCACATGGATGGGTTTTTGGGAAGCGACGCTTTTTTCGGTGCGGTGAGGCGGTGAATGTGGAGGTGGTGGAGATCGAGGTGGGCTCTTGGGATCGCACCTCGGCATGCTCGGCGCTCACCTCGGCGGTGGATGGGATCCACCCTGAAATAATTTGTAATGATCTTGGGGAAATAGTAATGGTAATATATATGTATATATATATGTGTGTGTGTATGTATGTTTTTATGTTTTGTAATTTGTTACTATCGTTGATTATCACTATAATGATTAGCATGCATTATCATTATCAAGACTAGCATATATCAATATAATATGGTAATATATACTATGGTAATATTTTACTAATCCAGGTATTATCATTAGTAATAGTATTAGATAGTATTAGTAAAAGTATGTTTTAGTAAACAGTTATTATATAGCATATTATTACTGTAGTATATGATTATTCAGGAGGATAATAATCAGTATTACCATAGTATATAATCGTATTACCATAGTAAATATTGTAATATCTAATACCATAGTATTACTATACGGATGGTCATTAGGAAACTGCATTACCGTAGTATATAATACCAATAGTATCATATGTAATGGGCTAATAATCATCATTAGTATAACATACTATTATTAGTATGTATTAATTAGCATAATTAGTAATAGCAATATCATCTATTGTCATTATAAGCAATTTATAGGGTATGAATGTATATGAATATGTATGATAAGAGATGATGATAGATGATTTCTGTAACAATATATATATATGTAATATAATGCAATATGAGTAATATATATATATACATACATATATCTATAGTATATGAATGTATTTGAATATGCGTGACAATAGATGGTCCCACATTATAATAATGGACAATAGTAGATGATGATAAAGTATATATATTGATAATATGGCATTTTACACGAATTGTACCCCTGAATGATCCCAAGGACACAAGGCTTTAGCACAATCCGGGGTTGACAGCGGAAATTGGTCAGGGTCACAGCTGCAAGGCGACTTGCAGAAGTTCATCTATGAAAAGTTTGCGGAAACTTTGGCTGCAGTCTTCATGAAAAGGGTATAATATTACGATGTACTACGGTATGGCCATACTATGCACTAGGCTCATAGGCTATACAATTCTATGGGGTCAAGTCTCATTGAATACCCCTCCATAGTTCATATAGGATGGTTTCTCCATCAAATCCAAAAATTGGTTTCGCCCGTCTAAAGTGAGATATTGATAGATCTTGACCATATATGATCCATGAATTCTGCTACCCCAAACGCTGCCGCTGTCTGTGCGTGGCCCCCACCCAAGGAGGAAAGTTTTTCGCTGAATTGGATGAACAGCTTGACCTGGAAAGAGAAGGGGAATGACTTGTACCTGCTGCATCTTGTAGCACCGTAGATGAGGAATGGGCCGAGTGGGCCCCCGGATGGTTTGCTCCACCCAAAGAAACAGTCACATTCCAGTCATCTATAACCTTGGCAATGGAAATCGCCCATTCGTATTAAATGTATGATGTTGTTCCTTCAGTTTGCCTGGTATGCCGTGGTATACCGTGGTATACCGTGGTCCCTCAAGTGGTGCCCGAGCCAAGGCACACCTCCCGTGGGGACATGGAATTGCTGCTGCCCTGGTGGTTTCCACTGCCTGATGCGGTGGTCAAAGCCACCTTCCAAGCCGGCATTCGATACATGTGACATGGTCAAATTTAAATGATGGATGTTTAACCATTATATAAAGAGTTGGGATTTCATATGGGATATGAACGGAGTATTTTTGGGGGTATATAACCAATCAGAATTTGGATGATATACCCACTTCTTTGGATGCTCATCCATTTTGATAGGCATGTGCATACCCATAATTTTGGAAAACCCATTCATGATGGTGGGATGACCACACCACATATTAGGGCGCCATACAGAATGTGTTCTTCACTGATGACGCACGAAAGGCTGCGGCTGAAGTTTCCCATACGTCTACAGGCACAAAGCATGCAAAAACTCCCGGCAAAACCCAACGGCTAGCTCGTCCCCCACTCTGCAGAACTGAATGATTTACAACTAGGGTTTGGGACTGTTTGGGACCCATCACAGGCCCATCACATCATCATCTCCTCGTTATAGGTCTAAGGTGAAAGGTCATGCCACAGATCACCCATTTTTGGCAGCCATCCAGCGAGAAATATGAATCTGAATATCTTCGAAAACCATTAATATACATATTATATTCAATACACACGTACATGTATACATATTTATATATATATACTGATTGGTGGTTTGGAACATTTTTTATTTTTCCATAATATATGGGAATAATCCTTCCCATTGACTCATATTCGTCAAGATGGTTAAAGCCACCAACCAGTGTGTATATATATATATGTGTACACACACGAGTATACGAATCTACAGTTTGTTTCAGGGCATCCGAAAGCCCAGATGCCCAGGATCTCCGATGGCCAGGCCAAGATTAGCGAAGCAGTGACCAAGAGACCCCTGGTGGAATGGGCTTTGGGGTTGGGGGGTCAGGGTATTCTATACATAATGTATATATATATATACTTTTAATATGAGTGTATATATATATAATATATACTAGTGTGTTTAAGAAGCTATACTTCCCCCAAACACAGAATTTGTTAATTTCACAAGTTCACCATCAGCAGTCAGAGGACCTGTGGCAGACAGGAGCCAAAGCCATCGAGGTGATGCATTCATGAGGTGATTTATGAATGAATTTACTGACTGATGAAGTTGTATTTCGAAAATCTCGTGGCGATGTCGCAATTCATTTGGGATTCGCAAGCCAATGGGCGATTTTTGTGAGCCCCTAGTGGCTGGTCAATATGTATCCCCAAGACAAGTCTAGTTTTGCGGGCAAAGTTTGGCCATCAAAATGCGTGAAAAATTGGATATGAAGCAACAGAAACAATTATGACACTAACTATTAGTGATACAAATAGCTGAATTGAAATAGAGAAAAATTAGATAATTGGATCTGAAGTGACACAAGTAAGGAGATGTAAGACTTAAGAAACCAACGTGTGGATATAAACAAGGGACATACCAAAAAATGCCAACAAAAGACTAGGGCACCATCGTTGGATGCATATTCATTTATAATTACTCACACATATATATACATATATATGTTCATACATCATATAAGCCCATGTGGGTACTCCCTGACAAAATTCAAGGCACTGATTCTCTGACTTTCAGTGGCTAACGCTCAGGATACCAACAAGCCGCTGGTCGCCCCTCCACATGAGGACACCCGCCGAACTTATGCCACAAATAGTGGTATGCGCCCCAAGTCCGCAACAACTTTGGCCGATGTTTTCCACTTATGTTTCACATCACCTTCAGCAAAGTCTGCTGAACGGGATCTGGACGCTTGGTTTGGCTGGGCAAAAGTTGGGAGATGTTGGGAGTTAAAGCTAGGCAGGAAAGGGTCCTAACATGTCCTAACACATCCTAACACAACAAGAAAACCTACAGAATTCATCAGAATGCTCTTGCTTTTCCCGCCGAAATTGGTTTTGCACCCATGTTTCTGCCGTGTTGTTCTCCAGGTCCCCATGTTTGTGGGTTCATCGCCAACTCTGTAGGTACGCTCCCTGGCAGTGTTGGCCAAATGTGACGTACTCATCGAGGAGATTCTGGGTCACAGTTCCAGACCCATGAAATCCGCATATCCACTAGAGGTCAGCCATTTTAGATCACTCTACTGTATCAATGTATATGTGATGCATATTTGTGTATATATATATATATATACACATTTGGTGTTTGGTGCGCTTAAATATGCTTAAATGTACGTCAAATGCATATTATGCATTGCTATGTGTATACGTATTTCCGAGGTCGATCAAAATATGCTTGTTCTGGAACGATCATGGCGATAGACTGTCCGTTTGAAACTGCGACAAAGTGCAACGACCTTTGTCGCCACTGTTGCTCAAGCAACTTAACAGCTTATTTCGGTGACCACACCCCGGCATGGCTATGAGATCGATGAGCATACCATGGGTTTGAGGTGTAATTATTGTATATGAAATTCTTCATGAAATTATATTCAATGTTGGCTGATATTCCAATTGATGCCTGGATGTGCTCATTTCTCTAGCTAGTTCAAACTTACAGCCCTGATGCACGGCACAACAGATCCCCATGGCCCTATTCCACAGTCAGCCAGCATCAAATCAACACCTTAGATGCTGCACCATTCAATTGCCCTCCCGCAATGCTTTCTGGCGGCCCCTTTGCCATCAAACGTTTGAGCTTCACCGCGATCCGTTGCAGGCTACAGGCTTTTGCCTCTGAGACTGCTGCACCACAGCAGGTTAACACACACTACCGGCGGCAGCGAGCCCGGCAGCATGACCGGTCGTACAAATCGGCATGCCCCTTCACTGTGCATCGTACTGCCTCGGATAATCTGCCGGTCTATGTCATTAAGCGCAAGAATCGACCCTGGGCGCTGCTTTCAGAGATGTTCCACCAGTTTTACTGCCATCCCATTTGCCCCCATTTGTATGCCTTTCTAGATGTCTTAACAAAAGGCAGCATGTACTTCCACGCCGCCACCAACCTCCAACAGGAAACGAAGACGTCACAGTGATCAAAAAGATCCGTGGAGATCCAGAAGCTTTCCGGAAGGAGATCGAGTTCTTGTGTCAGACGCGTGCCAGCTACGGAAAGAGCGGCTTCCTGCAGATCGTTGGGAATCACCGGAGGGTCATCAAGGGTTACCTGCAAAGCATCGGCTACTGAAGCACAGAAGGACAAAAAATGCGGAGATGTTGCCTTTTTTGTTTGGTGATCATGGGGGAAAGGGAGCTCAGGGATGCTGAAAACATTGATTTTTGAGATTTGCTATGGATTTACTGGAGGTTGTAGCTGCCCATCAGAAGGCTGTGGGTTCATAGCGGTGGCTTCCCAATGTGCCAAAGGCTCAAATGGTCCTCACAGCATCACCCATTGGCCCATTGGCATTCTTTTCAGTCAATTATTACCCAACCACCAGAACCCGTCCACCTGTTTCTTTTTTGGCAGGGGAGTTTCAATGCAGGCTGGTGTTCCAACTCTCAACCGCCGCACAGCCTGATTCGGTTGAATTGGACCTGGAGCTCCGGCAGCGTACCAGAAGGATTGCAAGTGGATCCATGTCAATCTCCTGTGTCAAACGTTGAAGTGATTAGCTGGGGTCAGGGTGGCCCCAAAATTGGGGGACCTCCATTGGCTTCCCCACTGTCACCAGCACATACCAGCACCCAAGCTGCAAGTCAAGATCCCCCTCAATGCTGGGGCATACTCGTACCAATCCAACAGCCCGTAACAGAGACATCGCTGACACCACTGCGCGGAGCCTCATGCAATGGCTCCCAAAAAGTCCAAAGCGAAAGCAAAGCCTGAAGAGAAAGACAGCAAGGAGCCTGGGCACCATTGGAAAGATCATACTTATAGGCTCTGCGAAGTCGATCTTGGCACCCACCCACCGGATTTGCATGAATTAAGAATGATTAAAATGTTTGCTAGCTTTTTCTTGCATCAGAGTTGGAATGGAATAGTTTGGCCGGCAACCTGTTTTGCTTCGGATCCATTGGAAGAACTAACCTCTGAACCCTTCAGGAGGTGGGGTGGCTGAGTTCACAGCTGGAGAAGCTCACCAATCAAGAGGCTTTGGGCCCAGCATGGCTGGCGGAATTTCACCAATGGCACAAGGACTGCGGAATGGCTTGGTGGTGAGATGTGCAACCGGTGTTGGGCGGTTGAGTTGTTGGACGGGAAGACACACATGTAGAGAGGTGTGGGGATATGTGGGGATGACACCCGTGATTTGAATTGATTTGACTGTTTTCACTCCTTCGGTGGAATGGTACTTTGGCTCCTTGATCATACTCAGATGATAGACAACATAAATAAAAAAGGAAAGGTCCCCAGTTGGAGGGTAAAATGATGGCCCTTTTACCCATGAAAAGCGTTTCCAGGAGCAGCTAGCAGTGCTTCAAGAAGCCTTGGAAGGGGGCAGCTTGGTGGAGACACGCTTGGTGGGTTTTGCTGCTGGCCGTTCACCACTCAGATGCTTCATAGATTCGATGCCCATGAGAGTTGAGAACAGATGCTGTGAGATTGTTCCTTCAATTGGATTTTGGTTGATTTGGCAATATTCCTAGCTTTGCCTGATGCCACTAAGTAGGTCACTCCCGCAAATCTACCCAAACCTGCCGCACCAACCATGTGCCAAAACTGTGCACGAGTCCGTCTTCTCTTGAGGCTATCAATTCCCGTGCTGACGCGAACTTTGCCCCGTTGAAAAGAGTTGTGTTCAATGTCATTAGGAAGACATCAACAGGATTATTGAGGACCTTCAAAAATAACTGACATGGCAAGTCAGAGGCCCTAGCCAGGATTGCCATGAACTTTGATTGTCCCGATGGTTTGGCTATGTCACAATGTGTCCATGTTTTTCAGTTTTAAATCATTTAAATCTGCATTGTTCGTGGTTATGTTATCCAGATATATCCCCCCATGATTGTTGAAATCTGGTTGTGGCCTGGAACACAACCCAGGCAGGGTGACTGCAATCCCTTCTGCAACTTGGCCCGTTAGGGAGCGATTCGGAGCTATGGGCATCCATATTCCCTATTAAATGACGAGCCAGTTGGAGCAGTGTCCCAACCACATGGTATCTCAGAGTTGCCCAGATGGAATAACTTCTAAATATGTGCAGAGGCTGTTGAATGAACCCACTGCCACAGATTATGGTCATGAAATGATGTCCTTCTTCAGTTCTCGCTTTCCAATTTTGGGGACTGGACTCTCCAAGTGAAGTGAGTGTGAAGATGTGAAGATTCAAGTATCACACTGAGGTATGAGTGAATGCTACAGTAGTCTTTGAGAAGCACCAGACAAGTGCAGAAAGTCTAATGAGATGGATGAATGATTCCCACAAACATCCACAAACATCCGCAAGCCACATGCAGCCATTTTCATTTTCTGGCTGGTTTGCAAACCCATAGGTTACACCAAAGTGGCCAACAAATATATAGCTTTGAGAAAGGAGGGCACCTATTCAATGGATTGAAATGGTACGTAGGGAAATCCATCTACATCATCTCTAGCTGTTGATGGCTTACATTCTGATTTGGCAAGTTGATCCTACTGTCTTCTCCAAAACCATCCGCCGTTTTTCCCACGGCACCCAGGATGTCAAGGAAGGACTGGACTTTTACATCTCCCAGTGGCTCGGTTTAGCAATGACCAATGTTGACCACTCAGATTTCACCGGCACCAAGGTTTGAGGACGGACAGTCCGTCTCGGAGGAGGAATTTTACATCGATGCTGGGCAAAAAGGTGTTTCAACATGGATCCAGGTTGAATTATGTTGAACCTGGGGACCTGCTCTCCAATGATCTCTTGCTTCAAGCCTCATTTGGGCATGTTTGAACTCCATGGTGAAAAATGATTGTTCCCCACCAGCAGGATTGTTGATGCCAAAAAAACATGGTTTTGGGTGAAATGCCCTCTCTGTCCAAAAGGCGGGGGTGGTAAAACCTATGTTTCCATGAAATTTCCCATTATGTTTACAATGGCATGTGCTTTCTGGATCCAACATTTCTATCTATCCATTTGTGGCTCATTTTCCCATCTAAAATCCAGTTTTCCAGTCCTTGTTCGGTAATTACCGGAAACGTCACGGGGTTGGTTTATGCCATGCCGGTTCAATGCCAAGTCAATTCATCATTTGTATACTGGCTAAAATCCACACTCTGTCATTGTCAAAAAGGGTCACACGCACATAAATATATATATATACAGACATGATATATGTATATATACATACATATGGACGATACCTTTAGCCCCCCACAGAGATGTAAACAACCACTTTGTCATTGTCGAAAAACCATGAAAACCTATTTAAATGATACGCATTTAGATCCCTATAGACTAGATTTAAATCATTTTAGATCAGCCCAAGGACAAGGAGCTCTACTCACAGCTCCTGGCACCCCCCGAAGCCGCTCCCGAGCCGGCCCCGTACGAACGGCGCGTGGCAACTGAGGAGGAGTTACAGGTGGAGGGCTGGGAGGTGATGGGAAGATACCATTCGGGTAATCAGCTCCATGGCTTGCTGGAAAATCCCCCTATTTAGTTCGGTGATTTTCCAGCTATAAACCACCATGGATTTCGGGAAGGGTGAGTTTCCTATGTTCACCCAGCAGAAATTGCTCAAACAAGGGGTTGTTGCCTGGTTTGGTTTGGTGGATGGAGAAACGTAGGGCTGACTACTAGCTGTTTAACGTGTCTAGATGACACGCAAACGCATATAGCCAGTCCAGAACGCTGAGCCCAGGTGGTGCAACAGTTGAACCTTGGCAAGTTAAACGGTTCAAGGTTGGAACCAGAAGGGTTCTTTTGCACCATCTCTAGGCTCTAGGTGGATTTGCAAATCAAAATGTCAAGCAACAAAGCCCCCAGAGTGAACGGCTTGCAACAGTGGTCCTTATGGATGTCCTTCCTTTGTCAATAACGAGTAGCACTGAGCGAAACGTATGTTTTCGGAAGTGAAGTGCTGGTTGGAATGTGAAGAGTGATATATGCAATTGCTGAGGAAAGATTGGAAAGATGCGACGCCACAAGGTTTGCTGAAGGCTGGGTACCTTCGCTTCTGCCTATCGCTGTCAGATGAAGCCGGCAAAGGATGATCCCTGACCCCAGCACAAAAAGCGTAGGTGAAGAAGATCATGGAGGCAAACGATGGCTCGGCAGAAGTTCAGGCAGTGAAGTTGTCCTGGGGTGGAGACATGGTTTCTTGAAGGGTTCCAGGCACGCCTACAGGGATGATACCTGAGCTTAGTAGATGGTCGATGGTTTGTACACGTTGGTACAAATAAATAACATTGGTTTGAATACCCCCAAAACTACAATCAAATCCCCGAAGTAGGCTCGGATTCGCTAGGTCGCGTCGTCCCTATTCATCAACCAACTTCTAACCCATTTCACAATTCGTTTGTCAACCATTGGCCATTTTACTGTAGCTATCACTCATTTTCTAGCAGATGCTGGCTTCATTCATTGAACAGTACGTTAGGTATGGTTGAATAACATTTTTTTGGTAAGCCTTATATGGATCGCTACTACCACTATTCTGGCTGGTGGTTTCAATCATGTGTTCTGTTCAACTCAACGTAGAATGATGATACCAACTGACGAGCATATGTTTCGGTTGAAACCACCAGTCCGGAGTTCAAGAGTTCAACTAATGTGGTGTTTTCGATTTTTTCTTTGGGGGGCTTTAAGAAAATGTGTGTTTTTCATTGTTTTCTCCCATGGTTCTTCACCTTCAGATATTGTTTGCTATGGAAAATGAACCATTTTTCATAGGTACATCTTCGAACTCAACGGGCCATCTATACCACAGCTATCCATAGCTGCCATAGCCATCCCAGAACCCCTTCACAGGAGAGCGGCTTGACGCGCCTTGGCGGTCTGCTAGCGGACAGCAAGGGCAGCGGCAGCGCCGTGCCTGCAGGCTGCGGCTTGACGCCGGCGGCGCTGTGTCCGGTGGTGATGGAGGTTGGGGATGGCTGGGGAGTTGATAGGTTGATGAGTGGGGATACATACGGATATATAGTAATAACAACATAATTGACATGATATATATATATATACACTCTATCTATATGTGTGTGTACTGCCTTCCGGCAGTCTTGACAGATGGCGATGGAGAGAGAAATTTACATATACAGTATCATATACATATGTATGATTTGAAGATATGGAGGTATCTATAGAATAGGGACATTATATAATACTATGATGAAATTATCCTTTGGGAATCAAAAGTGGCTGGCTGGAAAACCCCGACCTAAATGGAGGTTTAGAGTGGGGGAAAGTCATCTATAAATGGTGGATTTTCAATCGCCACGTTTGATTCCCAGAGAGTAATCGCTGATTGGATAGGAAATGAATTGTTGATGAATGGTTGATGAATGAATGATAGTTGATGAACCCCATCCCAATCAACAATTGATTTATTGGTTGGTCAACCGTTCATCAATGATTCTTTCGCTGGTTGATGAATGGTTGATGAATGGTTGGTTTTGTTGATGAATGATAGTTGATTTTGCATCCCATCCCCCGATCAGAAATAGTCCATGTCCCCAAAAAACGGGCCCCAATTCATAGTGCGAAACCATTGTTGCTAAGGGGAAGGGATTGTAACGGTTTGATTTCATAGGTGATTCATGTTTGATTAATGGTTGAGTGGTGAATTTAATCGGGTCAATGGTTGATTTTCATGGTGGATAAGGGGCTGGCACATTTGGGATGCACGTTTTCCACGGTCGACGATGCCAACAGAGAAGAAGATACGTTTCCTGGGTCCCATCTCTTAAAATCAACCAACTTCCATTCCCCATTCTTCCTGAGTCTTTCAACCCTGGTTTTTAAATGTTTTTTAGGTGATCGGTTTTGGTTTTGGCATTGCTTGATGGAGGAACATAGGTACATCCCACTAGAAACTATTGTAGCATGTGTGTGTGTGAGGTATCCAAACTTAATCTGGAAACCCCATGGTGGACCACTAGTAGCCTTGTCAAAATTGCTGACGCTGACCATGGCCATGAATTGTGGTAAATCCTCTTAGTCCAAGTCATTCTGTTGATATATGGATCTCGAGTTATACCATAAAACTATTCCAATTATATGCCCACATCATCCCCCAAAAATGATGTGTTTTTAGCCCCCATTCACCTGGAAAAAAATAGGATAAAATATGATAAATTTTAAATTAAAGGCCTTTGGATTCCCATTGATTGTTGGTGTCTTCATATTCCGAGAATTTGATCATTGAACGGGCAACGCCGGTTCAAATTTCGCGCTTCAGCCGATAAAACGATAAAGGGCAGACTCTGCCCTTTATCGGCTTATCGGCTTATCGGCGCCGGCCGCTTTGAACCGGCCATGCCAGTACGCTGAATTTGATGACGGGCAAATTTAAAGAAACCCCCGAAAATTGGTGGTAAAAATGGTTTCCTCTAAGATTTTCCTACCAATCCATTGGCTTATGGAGGTGTCCAATCCAGGGGACGGCCCCCAAATCACCATAAATCATCCACATCATGTTGAAACAACCATGGTGACTTGGGGATCCCCCATGACTGAAACCCTATGGATTGCTGGTTCAAGCCTTGTCTTCCATGGTGAAATCGCCTGGCTCGCCAGGTCATGTCTCGCTTCCCGCGTGACGCCAAAGTGCAGCGGGTGGCCTGCAGCGTCCTGCGAGGCCGGACGTGACGATTCAATGCCATGAAAAATGCATCCATTGAGTTTGAAGTATCGGACATGTATGTCGTATTTATCCCATAAACTGTTTGATATCATACTATATAGTTAATGGATATTTAATGGAATCATGAGTGGATAATAATGGGATAATGCTTGATATCAAATACTCTCCACTACATCAACATAGACCCTGATAACAGCAAACTTCAACTGGAAACTAGTCTTCCAACCCCCCACTTGGCAGGGTCTATGTTATATAATTTACTTGAGGATGTATACTCTTAATCAAGCAAACTGGTGCTCTGAGCAGCACAAAAGGATTGGTATATGGGGAAGATTCTACGATATAACGGTGCCTTCTTTCATTAGTCAAACTGCCCAGAAAATGATGGGAAATTCTGTGGGAACCTGTAAATTGGGGGGAACAAAGGTACAAAGGTTTCTCATATGTTTCCCCTTAGACTAACCCACTGAAGAAGGTTTTGTTGACCAGCAAATATGTGGAGAGAATGGGATATAAGGCCATGGCGTTGTAGTAAACCCATGAGATTGCCGATTGAATACACTAATTTCACTTTTTTTGTTCGGCATGTTTCTGCCCGTGTGCATTTGTGAAAATCAAGCTAGTGATGGGATAAGGTACCAGATTCTACTCTAGTGAAAAAAGATGGAAAAGATGAAAGAGTAAAAGCATATTAAGACTTGGTGGGTAAAAAAAAGAAGTAGAAGAAAACAGAGAGTGATATAACATGATATAACTAGTTGTATCATTTTGTGTAGCTACTGTATCCATTGGTGAGTTCGGTTTGCCACCCATGGCGCCAACTGGACCTGGAGCGAGCCAATGCCGGATGCCACCCTGGCGCCTCTGGGAGATTTGGCGCGGGGAAGCTGTGACATGGAAGGGGTGACCCTTGTGGAATCTGAGATCCTGGGATTAGGGGAGCCCAGTTCTTTCGACTTGATCGGATTTTTGGGGTCCAGATCTGAGGATTTTGTTTCTTCTTGATCTACTTGTTTTTGTCGCTTGCCCATCTATTTTTTTGATGATTGGATAGATCTGGGGGTGGCCGATCTCTTTGAATATGTCTGAATGGTGGACTGTTGCAGGATGATGCAAGACTATTTCATGCAGCGGAGGTTCTGACAATCCATGATGGAATTCCTATATCCTGAAAAAACAACCGGTACAAAAGAATCATTCTGTAAAACTGATTTATTGACAAGGTGGAGGGTATATTTGAATTTATTTGACATGTTCCGTGAGTTTTACTTTGCTAGTCAAACATGATGGCGTGGTAGAAAATCCAACCCTTTATACTTGTTGGAATAATTGAAGAAGTCTCGGTAAGAATAGCTGCTGGTATTTTTGACTGTCCGGGATGGGAAACTCACTGTTTGAGGTATCTTTGGCAAGGTCATTTTAGGTTCATTTGGGGTATGTATAGTGTTCACATTTGTATGCTTGCGTGATAATGAGCCCCGATCGACTCATAGTTTTGCAACGGGTATTATCGCAACTACCAGCCAGTTGTGTGCACTGTTGTTTGCCGAATGTTCACGCATTCTTCGAAATCTATACATGTACGAAGTGTACATACATGTTACATGTACATATCAATATGCAAGTATGTACATATTTTTATGTATTATATATATATACCAGTAGTACCGCACAAGGCGGTGGCGGAAGTTTCAAAAATAGGAAACCTATAGGAGAGGTTGGTTGTTGTGAATCAGGGATGGCAGAGCGAATCCACTGATGGACCGAAAGGTGCTTGATCTCTCTCACTCTTTCTCTCTCTTTCTCTGCCTATCTACCTACCTACCTATCTATTTTCTATGTATCTATCCAGCTATCGATCTATCTATCTATCTCTCTTTCTCTCTCTTTCATCTGTCTATCTGTCTATCTGTCTACCTGTCTATCTATGGTGCAGTGTCATCCAGTCTAATGCAGTGTAGTGTACTGTAGTGTAGTGTAGTGGAGTGTAGTGGAATGTAATGTAGTGCAGTGTAATGTAGTGTAGTGTAGTGTAATTTAGCGTAGTGTAAATTAGTGTAGTGGAGTTTAGTGGAGTGTAGTTGTAGTTGTAGTTGTAGTGTAGTTGAGTGTAGTGTAGTGTAATGTAGTGAAGTGTAGTGGAAGGTAGTGTAGTGTACTAGTGTAGTGTAAAGTAGTGTAGTGGAGTGTAGTGTAGTGTCATGCACTGTAGTGTAGTGTAATTTAGTGCAGTGGAGTGTGGTGGAATGTAGTTGGGTAGTTGTAGTGTAGTGTAGTGTAGTGTAGTAGTGGAGTGTAGTGGAGTGTAGTGGAGTGTAGTTGTGTAGGTGTAGTTGTAGTGTTGTGGAGTGTCGTGTAGTGTAATGTAGTGAAGTGTAGTGGGAGTAGTGTAGTGTAATGTAGTGTAGTGTAGTGGAGTGTAGTGTAATGTAATGTAATGTAGTGTAATTGAGTGTAATTGAGTGCAGTGTAGTGTAGCGTAGTGGAGTGTAGTTGCGCAGTTGCAGTTGTAATTGTAGTGGAGTGTAGTGTAGTGTAATGTAGTGAAGTGTAATGGAAGGTAGTGTAATGTAGTGCAGTGGTGTCTATCTGCGTGCCTGCCTGTCTATCTATCTATCTATCTATCTCTCTCTCTCTCTCTCCATCTATCGATCTATTGTAGTTGTAGTTGTAGTAGTTGTTGTTGTTGTTGTTGCTGCTGTTGTCGTCGAGGTTAGGGTAGTTGAGTTAGTGAAGTTAGTTAAGTTAGTCAAGTTAGTTCAGTTAATCAGTGTCTACTTTTTCGACATCTTCACGTCAAAAAAGCCTCAAAACCCTCAGTTTTTTACACTTTTGACTTCGAAATGTGCTTCGCGCCACAACGGCGTGCACTTTTTCGACACTTTTTCGACATCTGAACCTCCAAAAGTGGTCCGAGACCGTCAGTTTTTAACACTTTTGACTTGGAAATGTGCTTCGCGCCACAACGGCGTGCACTTTTTCGACATCTCAACTTCCAAAAGTGGTCCGAACCCCTGGTGTTTTTAACATTTTGACTTGGAAATGTGCTTCGCGCCACAACGGCGTGCACTTTTTCGACATCTCAACTTCCAAAAGTGGTCCGAACCTGGTGTGTTTTGTACATTTTGACTTGGAAATGTGCTTCGCGCCACAACGGCGTGCACTTTTTCGACATCTCAACTTCCAAAAGTGGTCCGAACCTGGTGTGTTTTGTACATTTTGACTTGGAAATGTGCTTCGCGCCACAACGGCGTGCAATTTTTCATCGCTCCTGTGGCCAGCTGGCTCCGCACCCGCCGCTTTAGCGAGCCTACTTTTCGACCCTCCTGAGCCACAAATCATTGGAAAAACACAGTTTTTCGCGACTTTCCTACCTTTTCGCGCATCTGTATCTTCTGTCCTCTTACTCTTTCTCTTCTTATCTTCTCTCTTCTAATCTTCCTCTTCTCTGTGCCTCTGCCCTGCTCTGCTTTTCATCTCTCCATATTGTCGGAAGTTTGACTTCTAAACTTCCTTCGATAACCACACGCACACACATATATATATATATATGTATATTTGAGAAGAGAAACCTGCGAATTGTCCCTCCTTCCAATGTTTTCGGGTTGAAATCAGGAAGCAGTGGGATTTCCTTAGGTGAAATCCCACAGCCACCAGCGCCGAAGGCGTGGCTCTGAGAAAAATGGTCACCAAGGCCATAGATTTAGTGGGATTTAATGGGAATTGATATGAATTAATGGGATTTAAGGCATATACTGTACCTCTATTGGCTTACCAAAATCCTCTGGATCCATTTTTTGGCACCAATTTCAATCTCAACAAACTAGATGCTGACTCCAATCGCTGCGCAAGGCAAAAAAAGGCCAAGAAGCACAAGAAGGGCTTTCCGAAGCGGAGGAGCTGGATGAAAGACAGAAGCATGACATAGGACTGGACACCACTGCCGGGAGTTTGGGATGTTGAGAAGTGTCCTGAATTGTTGGTTGAGGATGCTACTAGAGATCCCTTGTCGATACTTTTTGCATCTTCTTGTTCTTCCGAAAGAACAATGGAAGTGGAAATACCCAAATCTTCGCTCAGAAAATCTTGGTTGCTTCAAGTCGGGTGACCTGGTCACCTCGTTGAGCTTTGCATGGGTTAGTATATAATTAAGGGGAATCATCCCCAACTAGGACATACCGGGTTGGTGGTTTGGAACAGTTTTCCATATATTGGGAATAATAATCATTATTTAATAATCCCAACTGACTAATTTTTCAGAGGGGTTGAAACCACCAACCAGATACGAACCCCTCTTCAAACCAGACTAGCAAAGCATGTAGGTTCTACGATAGCTGCAAAACCACAAGGACTTCATCCGCGGCTTGGATGCGGAGGAAGGTAGCCACCAGAGAAAGAAGGATCGTGTGTATGCATATTATCATACTGTATTTATATCAACCCCCTAAAAATATATAGAAAGTTAAAATCCCAGTGAAACAGGAGAAAATTACTGTTCCAGTTTTTTTTTTTCGGGGGGTACTATGGCATGATGTGGCCAACCACATTCCAACCACCTGCAAATGTAGCCCCCATCAACTCACTTCTGAAACGCAGTGGATGGCTGGGAACTGGCCCATGGATGCTACCCCCACACTCTACTAAGGGAAAGAGCTCGGGGCCGAACTCGACATGCCAACAGACATGGAAGGACACTGGGCACTGGGGGGAACTTGTTGGACTGAAGATTTGATCATGGTGACATTGTTTGGTTGCATAATAATTGTTCATCTTATTTCAATTTAGTTTTCATGTATCATCTATCTGCTGCCCTGCACACATGTTATTTCACAGCTACAGTGCCCAGCTCCGAATAACCAGGAGATGTCGCAGAGGGCACTGAGAAGATGCTGACGACAAAGATTTGAGGAACGCAAGTTGGTTGACAGGACAACTTCGAGGCTGACATGATGGTCTTGAATCTTTGCTGGTGATGGTTATATATGGTATCATTTCCTTGTTTTGGGTTGTAGATTCCAAGGGCGGGGTCAATGTCGGCAGCACTTGAAGAGAGCAGAACTAGCGCTGACAAGGTGGGCAAGTGCAAGGGCGACTGGTTGATGGAGAAGTTCAGAGTAGTTCTCCGGTTCTGCGTCTAAAGCCTTGCCTCTCACCATTGGCTCCAGCCCTGTGCCGAGCCGCATGCCATGGTTTGGTGGCTCGAAACAGAGCCAAGTTCAGCGGGCAAAAAGATGCGCAGCACGAAATGGCCGAAACGAACCAGAGTTCTCTGGGGGATGACTTCTAAACCTGAAGAGTCTTGAGACAAGGTCCTCATGCTGTCTTTAGGCCTTTTCAATCCTTTCATCTTTTCCGTCATAATTTGACATTGTACAATTTAATTTATCCATCAGAAATTGACATATGAAGGTTATTCTTGACCGAACCATTTCTTCCCACGAGGCTGGGATTTTGAAGTTCCCATGACCTACTAAAATCATCTAAGTCACTTCCTGCATATGAACATCAGGCATGTGCATTACTTTCTCTACTAAAACCTATCTAGAATCATTTGGACATCTCAAATTTGAGATTCATTGCATTCGAATCAGATAATCAAATTGAAATCCGTAAAAAGCTGTAGATTTGAGGCACTCCACATCTTGAAACCCCACAGGCATCGTGGTCACCGATGGCGGCTGCACCGTGGTGGCGGATGTCGGTGGTGCCGCGCGCGCCGTTGAGGCGATGAAAGCACACCTGGTGGACGTGGAGGTTTGCAGGATGGGCGCGGCCGTGCTGTACGCATCCCTGCCGGAAAGGGGGGAAGGGCAATGAAGGGCAGCAGGTATGATACATAACTGGCCATAATGTTGGGATGTTTTGGGGATTCAGAGATTTGGGGATATTTGGGGAACATGTTTAAGATCAATTTGATCACATCCTTTAAACCAGCAAACATTGGGGTTTAACCGGCAACAACCTGGATCTCGTTGCAAATGGAGGATGCCCCAAAATGGTCACTATGATTTGAAACAACGAGGATTGACTTCGGATTGCCCTCTGGAAATTTAACATGGCTTTGGAAAATCATCATTTTGAATACGTAACTAGATCATCTACAAACGCGCCATGTCCACGGCTGTATGTATAGTGAAATTACCGGAGGGTAATCATCAAAATCTTCAAACTTTGGGGTACCCGGGTGCGGCACTTTAAGGCAATGGTGCAAAAGACGGACCCGGCCTCGCCTGAGCGGCTACTGATGCGCACCACCAAAGCCCATCAGGTGTTGGCTGAGGCGCCGGGGGGTGCGGGTTGCTGCTAGAATTTGGCTCAGAGCATATTTGGGTGTTGGGGTTTACCTTTTTTTGGTTGAGAAGTTGAGACCCAGCCCAGTGCTCTAATTTCGGAGGTCCAGGGTAAAAACTATCCATGTTTTATTGAGGGTTTGCTGATGGGAGTTTTTGGAACGGTGGGGTGCTGTTTGCAAGATTGCAATATTCTACACTACAAGTAGTCGGGCCTCATGATCGTTTAAGATGTTAAAGGGAAGCCGCCAGTTGGAGGTTCATTGAGGTTAGCTACCTAGTGTGGAATGCACTGGGATAGTTGGGATGTACTGTTTTTAAGACCTTGATAATATTTCCCGGTTCATGCCAATGCTCACGACAGTTTAGACAATGTTGGAAAAAATCAAGGAGCAATTACGGATCAAATGGATGCCCGGCACGCGGCCTAGGTGCTGCAGTACCATCCCACGGATCAAAAACTGGACCGTGCCTGCAGGGTAACTATGCCAGAGTTGAAGGGCTGACAAAAAAGAGGGCGCCCTGCAGTTTTTGGTGTCGGTGATGCACAAGACGGGCAATGCGAGGAGGTGTGAGAGACAATAAGAATGGTCATGATCATCGAGAATGCCAATGATCACAGATGGCCTCAATACTAATCGTGTTTTCATGGTCACAATCAGTGCTAGAAAAAAAGGCCAGGTTCTTGAGTTGAGCAATCTCCATCTCAATTGTACAAAAGCTTTACATGCCCAACCGCCATCGTTGGTTCTGTAAGTGCCCAGGAGCATGTAAAGGTTGACAGCTGGGGATCCCCCGCGAGGAGAGCCACAGCAGTTTGGATCCCGGTGGATCCCGGTGGGTCATGTAACGGTGAGACCATGTTTTGGGCACCCAGGTTTTGACCCACCTATGCATCTCGCACAGAATCATCCCATATCCACCTAATTTATCCTAATTTGGAATCATACTTTTTTCTTTTTGAGCTGTTCAGATGGCTAGAGGTTAGCCTGCTTTCCGCTCCTTTCGACCTTTTGGAAGATGAAGATGCATGACCCAGTTGCGATACCTCATTCAAGATTCAAGATCTCCGCAGGTCTTTTTGAAGGTCAAAAGCGCTTGGCCACGTGCCATGGGGCAGGGCCCGGGGCACCCCATGGGCCCAATGGGTGCAGCATTTCTTTTGGGCTCATGGAGCTTGGCGTTAGCTTTCACTGACTGTCAGGACTCAGCTGTTTTGAAAAAGGTAAGGGATGGTAAGGGTGCACTTCTTGCACACTTTTTATAGTTTTTTAGGAGCTATTAGGTGCCCAAAATACCAACAACCAGTGGGTAGAGGAGAATAAAACGATCCATCATTTGATCCCTGATATTTCAGGCTCCACATTGAATTTGGGGGGCGTGCTTCAAATATTTACCCATTTCCTGAGTGGAGTTGGACCAGGACGCCACATGCAGCGCGCAGTTCTTGCAGGCGGGATCGATATTTTGCGAGGAAGCTGGTTTGTGAGCCCCACTGCTGATGTTAACTTAAGAAGCAATGGCGATAGTGGTGGGATTTTGTGACTTGTACGTGTTTGCATATATGCATACATATATATATATATACATACACACAACATATTATGCGCATGTAACAAATGTTAAAAGTTTACTTAGATGCAGATAGCCATGCAGCCAGCAAGACTGGGAAGACAAGGATCTAACCAACAATTGCGTTGCCAATTCTACGCGGCGACTCTCCTTCTTTTATTGGAATTCCATGGAATTCCAGGATCCTAAAAATGGGGTACCAGGCCATATTGTTGTGGGGATATGATATTCCCTGAATTTTGGGCCTTACATAGATTTTACATAGATCAATACAGTTTGGTACCCACATTCCATGCATCGTTAGCGAGGTGCAAGCCCAAGCACGAAGCCCAACGAGTCATCCCTGGCCTCACTTCAGGGGCCCACAGGGACAGAGGCACGCCTGCCTGGGGTGCCACCTGAGCATTGCATCAGGTGGTTTGGGTCTGAAACTGTTGAATAAAACATGAAAAAACACCAATCTGATGATTGAAAACCCGAATTTTCCCCATTCAGCATAAATTGGGGGTACACCGGTACGGTACACCTCATTTTTAGACACACCCATGGTTGGAGCTGTTGGGGTATCAAAAGATGTCTTAAAGACGCTGGGATCAGCAACAACCCTGGGCCGGTGGTAGTTTCATGTATGAATGTTTTTTGGGATATCATAGGAATCATAGGAAGGTGGGGATATGAACCTGCCAATCATGGGAATGGAAGTGAAGTATCATCGAGAGCAATGCAGATATCTTAGAAATTTAGGCCTGGTGGGTGTTTCCCAGCAAAGACCTGATGAATTCTCTCACCCTGGCCATGACAAGAAGAATGGGTGTTTTCAAAGCTAGGTGATCCGCAAAGTCATCCAACATTAGGTCTATATATATATATATACATGTCAAATTCCCAGTTAACATATCCATGTGTTTCACCCATTGCTTTGTTTTGGCCTCCATCCCCAGAGAAAAACCTTGGAGAGAGACGTCACAGGTCCGGCGCGACTCCGGAAAAGTGGACGAACCACACCTTGAAGTGGTCCTATCACAACCCCAAGGGTCAGCTTCTTCGGCTGAAGACACACAGATCCCAACCAAATCCATCAAATCCGCAAAGTCAGTTGGGGCGAAGTTTGATAGAAAAATCATGAACCATTGATACCCTCTGGTAAACATACAAAAAACTATGGAAATTCACCATTTTTCATGGGTAAATCAACTAATTATAAATGGGCCATGTTCAATAGCAATAGCAATCAATAGCTATTTTGAAGCAACCAGAGGGTAAATTTGATGCGTTCCAAAATTTGGGGCCACTTGAGTCATCCCAGAACTTGTGAACAACTCAGCAGGCCACAAGCTGGGCCGCTTAAGCTGATCCTTCTATTGTGGAATGGGCATCCTTTGACAGCGAAGTGGGACCCCCCCTTTATCAAATACCATTATATTAATATTAATAATAATAATCATCATCATCATCATCATCATCCAAGAATGTCGGATGCCAACTCAGCGACCACTGAGGTACCACAACCTGCATGCAGGCGGTCCTGTCATCGATCAAGATGAGAACCTCTACCAGATGACCTCCAAAGGCCTTTTCGCTTTAAACTCTTCAGGCCGCTTGGACTCGCTTGGACTCGCTTGGACCCCCGTTTGGTTATCGCTTGGCCGTTGGTCGTTGGTTGCCGTGGTTCACAGGATCTGGAGAGATCGGGGAGATCCGAGGTCACGTGCTGTGGCACTATGAAACGCCTGGAAGGTCCAACAATGAGGTGACCCTGGCAGGAGACTATCTCCTGGGTTCCAGCAAGGCATGATCTGGGAAGCTGATGAGCATTTCTCGGAATATCATGAGACCACTATGAGGTTAAAAGATCTCAGATTCCCATCCTTCAAAATGAATCGTGTTGCATCAACCTGATTTTCAATTCAACAGCTAAGTTCAGAGTGTTTTTGTTCGAAATAAACTGGCTCTCAAAGATGGAGCTCCACAGCCACGTGGTGCATTGCTACAGGGCACGGCTTGATATCATGACAATGGCGATGCAACTTATTTTTGGGACGTCCCAATGGGTAGGACAGCTGCTAACCGTCACGCCTGACAGAGAGTGAGAGAGACTCAATGGTGATGCGAACGGCCCATGGTATGATTGGTGGACTGTGTATCAGTCAGTCCCACCACACTATCAACCCTATAAACTCTTGCAGAATTCAAACAGGATGGAACTCAAAAAATAGTTTCACAGGTGATTTTCTTGAAGGATAATATCGCCATCTTTGGGCTTTATATGTTATGTTGTTGCTTTCAACAATTTCTGAGTTTGCAACCGCACATGATGTGATTACCCCGCCTAATTAGTTTGTTTGTAGTTTCTTGGAATGGAATGTCACCCCATATCACCTCCATTCACCTCCATTGTGGGGGAATGCATCAAAACCAGCACCAAACTTTCGCAAGCTCATCTCATCAGGCAGGCAACGCCTTTGCAGTGCATCGCCGTACAGGCGCGTCCATGACGGGAGTCCCCGCCCTTGGTTACCTGAGGGTATGGTGTGGTGCTTGGATTTTCATGTGACAAGTGTGGGGCCCATCCAGCGAGGATTTACTGTATGTTTTGCTATGTTTTCTGTCTCCCGTTTGGTAAGTCTCATCACAAAATGTGTGTAGGTATGGAGCCCATTCGAACCGCACACGCAGACAAACGTAAAGGTACATTTACATAATTTACTGTTTGACATTAGTACTGCTTGTTATTTTGCATTAATTTATATATGTTTATGGTTTTTTTATGTTCATATCTGTGCAGTATTCTGCGCATTCCTACATGTACATGTGTGATAGTGTGCACATCTCTCTTCCACGTGATGGTGAAACGCCAGAAGATATTCCACATATGCCTCTGTATCCGGCTGCGAGCATACTCCTTCCAGGTAAGGAAGTTTGGGTCACAAATTTGGCCCCAGACGCTGGTGGAGATTGTGGGTACCCAGCAGCTTCTGAAGGGGTTGCTTGGTGGAATCTGCCGGGGACTCTGGGCCGATTCATGACTTAAGTTCCATCCCAGGACTCAGCCGGCAGGAGGATGGAGGATATGTTCTGCAATGGGTAGCCCAACACCCAGCAAGGCACTTCCAGGGCGGCTATTGGTGTTTCTACCAAAAGGTACTTACCAAGGCACCCCCGAAAGAAATGAATGATGTAGTCTGATGCAGTTCCAGACAATGAACCGAATGACTCAGACCTCTGGAACCCAGAACTTTGGTGTTGGGTGCCACTCAGGTTTTTGTCGTCGGAGCAGTCTCTTGGCTTTTTTTAAGTCCTGAGGATTTTCATGGAAGTGTCGGGCATAGCTGTTGTGACCGCCGAAGTGACGCCTACCTCTCGCTGATGGTCACTATAACGTGTATGCTGTATTTGTGTATATGATACGGGTACCATTATGGAATCGCAGCAGTATATTTGATTTGTTGGTGCTGTCAAACACCAAACATGTGTCTTTCCGTCATGCATGCATGCATATATATATATAGTACTGCATTGCATTTGTATATGCATTTGTGCGTGTGGGGGGTTGAAGCACGTACACACATACACATAAACATACAGTATATCATGCATGCATATCTATATATATATATATGTGCGTGTGTACTGTACATACGTGCGTGTGTATGGATATGAGTAGCCGACAAAATTAGCGGAAAACTAAAGTAGTAGGGAGTGGACTTCGGATGTTCAAATTTGTGTAAAAGATTCAACCAAGACTGGACCACTCACTGACCGATGCCCTATTTTTACACAGCATGGAAGTACAAACCTTCACAACCGCCTACTTTGGCCATGTCCATTGCGAGTAGTAAGTAATTTTGTCCGCCACTCATATGTCGTTTATTGGTTTATCGGGCACCGTATCCGGTGCAGCTCCTGTTTGCAGCCGTGCAGAGGTGTCTGGCCGTCATCCCCCTATGCCTGGAGGCAATGAGCGAGTCTTTGGTCGCTGGCTGGCAGTTATGGGGGTGGGATGTTTGATGCTGCTGATATCTGTTGATTGTTTTTCAGATAAAACCTCTGGCAATCGAAGCTGGCAATGGAACACAACTCCTTTTATCTCGCTGACAGGGACTTTCCTATGATCAAAGGAAGTTGGGAAGCAATACTTCCGTGTTACGGACAAATAGAATTCTGCGACTTGAAATGATGCAGGGTGGTAGATCACATAACAATACATAACAAAAGAATAAGAAGCAGTTAATGACGGGTGGTGGCGAAGGGAAGTGGTGACGAAGGGAAGTGGTGACGATGGGAGTGGTGAGGAAGGGAAGTGGTGAGGAAGGGAAGTGGTGAGGAAGGCAAGTGGTGACGAAGGGAAGTGGTGAAGAAGGGAAGTGATGATGAAGGGGAGTGGTGACGAAGGGAAGTGGTGAGGAAGGGAAGTGAAGAAGGGAAGTGGTGACGAAGGGAAGCGGTGAAGAAGGGAAGTGATGATGAAGGGGAGTGGTGACGAAGGGAAGTGGTGAGGAAGGGAAGTGGTGACGAAGGGAAGCGGTGAAGAAGGGAAGTGATGATGAAGGGGAGTGGTGACGAAGGGAAGTGGTGAGGAAGGGAAGTGGTGACGAAGGGAAGTGGAGAGGAAGGGAAGTGATGATGAAGGGGAGTGGTGAGGAAGGGAACTGGCAACCATGAAGGGGAGTGGTGCATGATGTTGCAAGGGCTCTGTTTTGGGGAGGAAGCCGGAGCACGAAACCTTGTGTTTTTCTGTGTAAAGTGGCTGCAGGCGACGATGAAAGGTACCTCGTCTGTGCGGCGGGTGCGGCTGCGGTCGGTTTATCGTTTTTTTTTGCCGCAGTGTAACGGTGGCTTCAAGCTGCTTTGGGTGTGCTTGTGTGTGCGTAGTTATAGGGTGTTTTGGAATCTGTGCTTGCAGATCGCATTGGAATGGCTGCATGATGTTGCAAGGGTTCTGTTTTGGGGAGGAAGCCGGAGCACGAAACCTTGTGTTTTTCCGTGTAAAGTGGCTGCAGGCGACGATGAAAGGTACCTCGTCTGTGCGGCGGGTGCGGCTGCGGTCGGTTTATCGTTTTTTTTTGCCGCAGTGTAACGGTGGCTTCAAGCTGCTTTGGGTGTGCTTGTGCGTGCGTAGTTATAGGGTGTTTTGGAATCTGTGCTTGCACATCGCATTGGAGTGGCTGCGTCAAGGTTGCTTGCCGCCGCGGCTGCATGCGTAATACTATTGTCTTTTGCAGCTGAAGATTGTAAATCGTATTGGAGTGGCTGCATCCAGGCTGCGATAGTCATTTGTCAGCAGATTTTCCCAATTTTGGCGCTAATAATTTTCCTTTTAAAATTCCTTTTAAAAAGTGCTTCAAAATCGTCTTTTTTTCACTTTGGCGTCGAGATCCGGTTTTGGAGCTGCAATTTCCGACGCCATTGCACGTAGTTCTATTGTGTTTCGCAACTCAGTCTCTGCAGATCGCAGTGTGAAGTGTGCAGTGTGAAGAGTGCAGTGTGAAGTGTGTAGTGTGGAGTGTGAAGACTGTCAAGTGTGAAGTGTGAAGTGGAGCTTGAAATGTGACATGTGAAACAAGACACCAGTTTCGCAGAGTGCACGCACGCACGGGCTTGGCTGGCGCACGGCGCATGCAAGTTCTATAGATGAGAAAGGTGTTATATATATCTTTAAGGCAACTTCCGCCCCGCCTCGTGCGGGTACTACTGGTATATTTGGATTTCTGGTTGCGATGTTTGCGTACCAGAACCACATGGCCCACAAGAAGCCTCAGCCAGATGAATCCGATAGTTGGGGCATACATCCAGTAATATCCAGTACATGATGCGTATGCATATTGAGGTAAATGGTCATTTGTGCATGCGAGTGCTCATTGACTGCATTTGGTCCATGTTTCAGTGTGATTCTGCGCACCTGCGGTGTAGAGTATCGATGCCAAGGCTTAGACGTGAAGAAGGGCACAAAACTTTGGGAGCCCTGGCTGCGCCGGGGATTCACCAACTGAAAAGGGGAGATGACCAGCAAAGACGGTGATAAAATATGATAAAGTGACGATAAACTGAAAATGCGGTTGATATTTTCAGAGATGAGCCCCCTGCTACTCCTTGCTCAGAAATATATATATATACCGGTACATCCTGTAGCCTCGTTCGTAGGGATTTTTTTTTGCATTTGCAAATCGTACCACATTTCGAAAAACGAACACAAATTCCTAGAACATGCCAAATGCACAAATCTTCAGAAATCGCATATTTTTATTTTTTTTCCAGTTTTGCATGGCGCATGGCCCCTGCAAAGCTATTTGGGCTAATCTTGACTCAACCAAAGTGGCTCGGGCCAAAAACGTTCATTTTCTGTTTTTTGGTCTAAGCCGTACAAATTGCAACCTGCAAAACGAGCTCAAAAAAACACACAAATTCAAAAAAAAAAACTCAGATTGGTAATTTTGGGCCTACCAATTTTTCCATGTTCATTGTAAATTGATGGAATTTGGATCACTTGGTCACCGTACCTGGCACTTGTCTTCTAGCTCACTTGCTATGCATAAAAATCAGAAACTCGAACACTTTTAACTTGAGGTCGAGTAGGAATTTTCTAGAATCGAACCCTAACAAAAAAAATGATACAAATGGGGGTCCAGGCATATATATATAATTTATATATACATGAAAGTAGGATGCCGTCCTCGAATGATTTTGAATTTATGCTCTGCTGGATATGTAATTCTCAGCGTGAAATTGAGCTGCCCCTGTGAGTTTTTCACCAGCAAACAAGCTAGAAAACAAAGCTGTAAGTTTTCAGCTGTGTTTTCATGTGTTCTACCAGTTGTTTTTTGGCACATGGATTGGAACTGCAAAGAACATATGGCTGGTACTAGGTTTCCATGGCCATTGTGGGCGTGATGGCAACGGATAAAATGGGATGATAGCACAACCTATAGCTAGAATTTAGGGCCTAACAGTTTGGTTGTTTTTTTCTATTGGCAAAGTTCAGCCTCTGTGTTTTTTGTTTCAGGTGAATTGCTTTGCAAGAGCATTGGTCTCCTACGGTTTTCATCTTGGTGATCTCAGGGGATCATCAGTTGGTTCAACTCACCAATAGATCCCGGTGCCCGCAGGAGTACAAAACTGATGTCCCCGTGTGGAACCTCACTCCGCTCTTCCCTGGTGTCCCTTGGAGCAATTTGGGGTACCTGGAGGGAAGATTGCCTGTTTGGCCATGGGGGCCAGCAGGTTGATGGTCTTGGAAGCCTTGCCAGGATGGGAGCACTGTACTTATGGACTTCGCAGGCGGCCTCTACAAACTCAACCTGACCACAGGCGCCACTGTGGATAGGGCCTGGCTCCAATTTAAGTGCTGCTCGGGGGCGTGGGTAGATTGATACTTCCCTAGCTGGCGGTGTTCTGGCATGTGTCAAATCTGACATCCGGAAAGATTCTATAGACAACAATGATGCGCATGAAATAGTTTGAGGAAGAGTGGCTCAACTGCCAACTGGTGGATTCATTGTTCATAATCACATGTGGGTAATTCCAAACGTGTCATTTGATGTCAGCCGACATAATAATTTTTCTGGAATATGTTTGCACCTCAGAGGTACAAATCCGTGAGCCAAAGAGACACCACAGTGTGTTAAACAATAAGTTCTGGGTTAAACCTTGTTTTCCATGGGTGAACTTTGTATTTAATGAAATACTAAGTTCAGCTTAGACATTACCCAAATACTACATTTTTACTTCGACATTGGAAGGCCTTGGCTGTATTGTCCCTTTCCGTGTCCCATGGGCCCGTTCCCGTTGCCTCGTAACTCCGTTGACCCCACCTCCCCTGAACCGTTGTACCATTGTCCCGTTGGCCGGTGTCGTGCCTCCTCTCCAGGTCTCAATGGTTGCTGCTTATGCGCCATGATGTTTATACATGATATTCGTACTGTGGAAGAAATCCCGCACCAGTTGATAGGTGTTGATAGGTGGTTTACATCGTTATTTATATACAGGGTTTCAACCATCCAAGGTGGTGCAGGATTTCTTCCATCCACAGTATGGGATCGTACGCCCAAGGCTTCCCCGGCACAGGTGCTGAGTTGTGGAAGACGCTGCCAGGGTGTTGTCGGTCGTCCTTCAGCGATGGGGGCGCTGGCTTAGGGCCCAAGAACCATCTGGCAGCGCGCCTGACATTGATGGGTGGTGATAGGTAGGCCAAAGGTTTGTATCCACTCTTGGGCTGGTGATTTCGAATAATTACTATACATAATTTACTATAGATAATTGCATCTAATTACATATAATTACAGATTGTGTGTGTGTGTATGCTCGAAGGTTCGTTCTTATTTAGTTGTGATCCTGGAATCTAGCCCAGAGAGAGTTGTGTGTGTGTGGGTGTGATCTTATAATGTGTGTGATTTATATGATGTTTGGGCACAGCAACCGTAGCATGTTTGTATTATTCTTGTCTCCCCAATCTGAAACCCCTTGAGGCCCCTCAGGCCTGGCATCCGCCGGCATCCTGCGGCCTAGGTTTACACTTGCAGCAATTTTGGGCAGAATTTCGGCATGGAATCTGGTCTGAAGCCACTCCATGGCATCACCTAGGTCCAAGAATTGGGGACAGACCCATTGAAATGTCCAACTCAGATCCTCCATGTTTTGGCGGGGCCCAAAGTCTTGCACAGCATCAGTGACCAAACCCTGGTTTAAATTCAAGGGTGTCCGTCCTAAAACTGCTAAGGAAGGAACCACTGGCATCGTTCGCGCCTTTTTCTTGTCGAATGGGACGGAAAAGTGGTACAAGGCCAGAGGGGCTGCTGCTGGAAACTGTGGTTGTCATGGTCCTTTGCACCCCTTGAAAGGCTATGATCAAGGGGGGGTAAAGCCGTATGGCCCAAACATAGGGGACCAGTGGGCCTACAAGATTGACCAGTTTTGTATTTCAAAATTAAACCAAATCATATACAGATTCGCGCAAGATTGGTATTGCAAATAAAACGGCAATTATGCTTGGGGTCACTGATTCTGAGCCAGATCGAATGTCAAACTCAGACAGCGGCCCGCACTCTGCAGATGACCACTATGCCTTGCAATACATATCCATCAGCTGCTCAGCCAGATGTGCTTGTGTGGGCAGTGCTGGGCACTACCAATGGGACGGCCTGATGTTTGAAACCTTCTCATGTGTTGGCATGGGTGATCCGGTGAACCCCTGGCTTTGCGGGATTTATCGGTGGAAATTTAATCAATTAGGGGCACCGAAGTATCACACCCCTTTGTCCCAAGCCGGCAAGACGTCGGCTTCGTCGGCTTGGTTGCTGGTTTCGCTTCTGGCAAGATTCTGATGTATCAACGAGACCCGCTGGACCAGTTCTGTAAGTACAAGCCCCACTGGAACTTAGGTAATTACGGGGGATCTGCAACACCATCAAGAGAGAAGCTTCGTTGTGCAGTGGATGATCTGGACAAAATTGTTCCCCACAAATGATTGTTTGAACGTTGGTTTAACACTGTGCATGTAAAAAGAAACGCTAGATCATTAAGAGACGCCGCGTTTGTGTGGCGCAAATTGGAAACCTTCAGGTTCGACTCATGCCCATCCTCGATCTCAACGGACAATACTGTAGTCTGAGGTGGGTCACATCGCAAACGTGGATCCATTGGCGGTGGTGGTGGCACCGGGGTCCTTCATGACAGGGGAGTGGCTCGGTTGCGGTTCGGATTGGACCATGTAGAACCAGGATCTTGGGGTGGAAGATGTTCGAAATGTGGGGCCTAGGACTCCATTAGGGCACCAAGTTCAACTGCGGGGATGCAAGAAGTAGTGATGAATTGTCTTTGTCCTTGATTTGGGTTGAGCATAGTACGCCCCAAAAAGATAGAAAAGTGTTTCCAGGATATTTCCAGGTGTCCATTTTTTCATATGTTTTCTATCTTTGGGGGGGTTGCTGTATGTTGCTGTACTAAAAATCGCTCATGGGATTGCAAAAAGCTTGCATTGGATTGTGAAACCCAGGGTTTTTTGCTCCAAGGAACCGCCATGGAGAGGTCTTAGCCTTGGACGCTCACACAGGAGCAGGGCTTACCATCACAAACTCCGAAGAAAAGCTTTCCCCACAACATACCTTCAATTAACGTGAAAATAAAACAGAAAAGATCAACCAAGCAAGCAACCAAGCACCCAAGCTACCCTGATCTCATTGGCACTATTGGCATCTGAGTGTGATCATGTCGATTCGTAAAGCTCGGTAGCTTCCTATCACCCAAGATTGATCGAACATTAAGCGCTTCTTACTGCTCTCAGAATTAAATCTGGCTGTGTCTGAAAATGGGGACATCCATAAAGCGGCCATGTATATTGGGTGGAATGGCACACACACTATTTTTCAGACAAACCTATATGGCAACGTAGCTCCCCCATGCTACATGTTGTAGATGATCTAGATGATCTACTGGTCCTTTGGGATTTTCCCCATAGTCTGGAATGTTTGGGATGGTCATCTGAGCAAATTTGCAGCGACCATGAATGAATGATGGTGAAAACACGTGGAGTCACACATACACAAACAAAAAAAACTTACAGTATTTTCAGGTTACAGGTTCATGAACTATAAGTTTTAATTTGTTGCCATAACATACACCCTGGTAAATTAACATAGACCCTGAAAATCACCAATTTTTAATGGAAACTAGTCTTCCAACCCCTATCTGCCAGGGTCTATGTTAATTTACCATAACATATATCATCATATATCATGACATCATACCATTCCCATTCCCATTTAGCTCCAGGTTCTCGAGTCCGGCCCCAGGAGACCAGTTGTGGCGCCACTTGGTGAAACCCTACAGCGGTTTGCTGGGCATGGCCGCTGGGGACGCTGAAGGCACGGCCGTGCGCTTGAAGGAGCACATCTCGCCGCAGTGCGTGCCCGTCAGCTGGTGGGAACATGTGGGAACTGGGAACACCTTGTTGGCAATATGTATATTTGTGCTAATTAATTAACTAATTAATTAATGATTTATTCATGCATTTTTTTATCTATGTGTTTCTTTATTTGTTTGTTTGTTTATATGTGTATGTGCATTTATGTTTATATGCATTTAGTATATTATATATATATGCCATATATAAGAAAATGCACATATGCATATATATATATATATATGCGCGCGCGTATATGTATGTAGGAACCGTAGATGGTTGACCCCCCCAAAAAAATGATGGTTTGCTAAAAAGGACCACTTCCAGGTAAACCTTGGAATGCAGTCATCTTGTGCCATGGGAAACTCGTCATACCTTTACCAGACATAAATTAAGAGCTGGACCGATTGAAACTGGGCAGTTTTTATTAGCATGTTTTTCTCTAGCAGGGTGGAAACTGGACGTGTACTTATGCACTTTTTCAACAAGGTGTACTTTTGTTGCGGGGTGGGGTGGAAAATTTGTATACATTTGTACATATAGATGTTAAAGTCTATTTTTTATATAGATATGCAAACACTCGCATGCCTGCATGTGCATGTGTGTGTGTGTGCGTGACCGGATCGTGTATGTGTTTTATTTGTTCGGATGTGGCACATGAGAATATGGATATATCATGTGCATACTATATACATTTTTTCACATGCGCCTGCGAAATTGTTTGTTTGCAGGCTTTTCATGCACGCACTCGTGGTTTGTCATCCCGTTCACAGACCAACAGCTCAGGCACACTGGAGTGCCCCCATGATTGATGGCAACGGCATGGTCATTGTGGGCCGATCTGATGGTAGCATGTACAAGGCCCTACCTGTTCTTCCACACCCAGCTAGCCAGTGGCTAGTACAGTAACCTCTATTATGCCAGTGGCTAGTACAGTAACCTCTATTATGCCATGAGGAGTGGCAAAAACAAGGTGTTTTTTGTTCCTTTTGAAACTTAGGTACACCTGTAAAGATACCACATCCAGCGGATCTGCACATATGGATAAATATGGATGGGAAAAAGTCATCAACAAAGTCATCAAAATATACATCCATTGAAAAATATGAATCATATACATCAAAATATGGAAGATCGTTCCAATGGATGTTCAGTTTCTCAGTCGCCTTCTGATTCCAGGTCTATGGTCCTGAGAGTGGCTTCAAAGGTGCCCGATCCAAGGCGGGAATGATTGCTAGGTAATCAAACGTGGCTGGGTGGAAAATTGCCTATAAACAATAGGGGAAGGAAAAACATGGGGAAATAAGGGAAACCCCATTAAAGATGGAGGTTTATAGCTGGGAAACTCAACGAATCAATGGGACATGTTCCAGCACGCCATGTTTGATTGCCGGAGGGTATACCGAAATAGATTGGTTGATCCTACCCAGAAGTAGGGGTACCTTGGAGTTGGTAGTCAGATTGTTCAGCAGTCGGGAAGCCCAAAGAATGGCGGTTTCAATTTGGATGACGTGTCACATCCAAAAGTAGGATGGTAATCCCAATCGGTTGAAACCACCATAAAATACAAAAATTGTGTAGGTGAGATGACAACAGCCAGCTCTGTCATACTCATTAATTTTCCTCATGTTTGTTTCTTCTATGAGATCTAAACCCAGATTCTTCCCTGCTCAAGCCCATCTACCCAACCACAATAACAATCTATAACAGCAGTACATCCCATTCAATCCCAGGTTTTACTCATTCAAACCATAGTAAAACATAGTAAAACCACCCATTTCATTGGTTTGAACCATAGTAAACCTATCAAAAACTATGGGGTTTTCCAAGGTTTGCCCATGTAAAACCCATGGTTTTTGTCGGGTCAAAAATGTCCAGAACGTCACGGTGGACTCGGGCACCGTGGCGGAAGAGATCCATTTGGGCTCCGCCTTCCTCCACGGGGCCCTGGCCGCGGCACCTGGGATCTTCGCCATCTCCTCCTGTGATACTCGGTGGAGTTTGGCGAAAAGGAGATTCGGGAACCCCTCTTCCCATGAATATGTTACATAATTGCGATATATATATATGTATATATATATATATGTGTGTGTGTATGTATGTATGAAATTCTATTAATAGTGGGTTTTATATACATATATATACATATATATATATATATATCACTATATATACATATATGTATCATTATATATATGTGTGTGTGTCTATTAATATCTATTAATGTTATGATACCTATTGAATAGTAGTGGCTGTTTAATCCATTATTAGTAGTGGTTGCGTGTCTTACTTAGATGTACTTACTTTATGCTAGTATCTATTAATCATGATAACTCATGGGCATGGGATTGATATCTACTATGGATATATCTACTAGTTTGTTGTCCATGAATAGTAGTTAATAATAGTATTTTAGGTTAGTTGTTATATATCCAAAAATGAATAGTAGTCAACAATAGTAGTTGCTATATATCCGTTCATAGTAGTTAGTTTACGTTAATATCTATTATATAATGAGGATTAATCACGCGATTATTGAGAATATGGGTATGTCTTTAAGTTAATCCCATTTAGTAGCAATATAATATATTAAACTGCTATGAATTGTTGTAATTGGCTGGTTGATGTTTAGGCCCTATATGAATGATGTAAAGAATATGCAAGTCTGACTTCATGTTTGGGTTTGTAGATGTTTCAAATTTGCACGTCTGACAGAGGTGCGAGCATGCATTTGCCAAATATGGCATTTTTTTCTCCAAGCTGTGTTGTTCGAACTTATTTGGGCAGCTGAAGTTTTGCAGTGCGGCATTGCTATCCTCAACATTACTGTCCACTAGCGATGCAAGACCCCCCGTGCCACCAGGATACGTTGTACGTCTTCCAGCCCCTCAGCCGCACCAAGAAACACCACGCTGGCCCAGCGATGGCCGGTCTGGACTAAGGAAGTGAGGACGTGGCGTGACGACGCGGTGATCCCCAAAGGGATGGACACCCCATGATTTCTGCTGGTCAAACATGGTTTGCTGGAAAATACCCTATTTATGGATGATTTTCTCATTAAGACCTTCATGTGTGATTTCACGGACAGCTATGTTTGACTGCTGGAAGGTCTACATTTTTCATCACAAACTGCTGCTGTTTGGTGTGACATGTGTATAATTGTGTGTATATATATATACACACACGGGTGTGCGTGTGTTTTCTTGTTTGTCAAGACATGTTAAAGAATAATTGTCAATGTAAATGCTTCAGTGTACAAAGTATCTTTGGTGTGCCGATTGGAAGGGCCACGGGCCCAGATGTGGCCAGAATTTGATGAAATTGATGACTTCAGTGATGCAACTGGCACCGGGAAAACAAAATTTACGCTTGGAAGGAATGCGGCTGGCATGTATCAGGAAAGCGTGAATGCCTCCATCCTGTGGTTATACGTTTATTTTTAGACATATGCCTGCAATATGTTTATGTGTCCCTGAAGTCACTACGATATACACACATGATAGTAGGGGAAAGACCGAATTCTGTGATTACAGTTTCGACCGAAGAATCTTGCACACAGAGAAGGTCCCTGCGCCAACCCACATCTCCAGCCATTGTACTCTTGAGACATTTTGACGGACAATCTTCAATGGTGTATTTTCATGGTTTCCAATTTAATCCATACCTGCTAGTGTAGTCTCAGAGTCATCCATCAATTTCATGGCATGCACTGCGCAAGCAGGTCCCGGGAATGTCTCGCTGGAATGGGCAGATTGACTTGACTTGACTTGACTTCTACTGTAGTTGTGGCGTAGAACAGCTTTCTTCCACTACCATCGCACGCTGCGACCTTGACCTCGGCTCAAAGAGATCAGAAATGTTTGCCTAATCAGAAAGATGGAAGGTTGAAGCGCTTTCAAAATCCATCAAAAAGGTAGGAGGTTCTCCTGTCTATCTTTTTTGGGGAGACCCCTGGCCTAGAGGCAATAGGACATAAAGACCCTAAGTCAAGACCCGACGCATGGGCTTAGAAGGAAAGAAACATCTGTGAATCGGCCTACCCCTTGCAGAGCCGGTTGGTACGGATCCAACATGATCCAACTAGTGAAAGAATGGACTGTAGCAGAAGACGATGATATGACTTTCAAACATCCTCCAATCAAAAAATCATGGGTTGCCTACAAGATCCGGAAAAAAAGTGCCTTCCCTTCTGGAGCCATGATGTCCATGCGCCTCTCTTGGTCAAGTTGGTGGCACAGAGCACCGCGGCTTCCAAGGGGATCAGGTGGGGGGGGCTAAGCAGCCAACCTTTCCAGTTACAAGATGTCTCAAAGTTGGTTTATAACATTTTATAACCCCTTCTTATCATTTTATCATCTATAGATGAACCATGGTGAACATGTATCTGCATATTATATATATATAGATGTGTTCTATTTATATATATATATACACATATGTGTTTGTGATATATGATGATATATGGTTTATCTGTATGTTATGTGTGTGTATGATTTATCTACATATTATATTTATATATATATACACATTGTTCATAACGATTGTTTATATGTCCATTCTCACAGTTGTTTATATCACCACCATGGTTCAGAATCTATAGATATATATATATATATATCATGTATCTGTCATAAGCATCCATAAACATCCAAAAACCATAGTCAAGCTAGTTACAAACCAACTGAGCATAGTTTAGCTATCGGGGGCCACCCCTATCGTCGACCGGGGTTTAGTACTCAGTGGTTGACATTAGCTGCGGCTGGGGTCAGCGACCAGCAGGAGGCTTACCAACCTTCAGAGAAGAATGATGTTCTATTTCGCTTCATCGTTTTGAAGTTCCCAGATGTATACTTACCAAGAAGATGGAATGGGAGGTTCGTGGAGAGTTTCCTTCCAGAATTCATTAGCATTAGCTTTCGTTGGGTTCTTATACTCTACTGCTTTTGGTGGCTCCCTTGACACCAGCTTGGCCTTGCATGAGGATGTCTATAAAGTCCTCTTGAAGAGACCGAGGGGAGAGACATTTGGCATCATGGCTGGTGGCATTCCATCCCGAAGTTTCCGGAATGCCCATCGTCATTTTGCGGCAGAAATCAGGGAAAATGTTCATCCTAGTCTAGTTGCCAGTGCATGATCAGGAGACACGCGGTCAGATGGGTGGAACCCACCAAAACCCACCAAAAATTTATCTTAGCAAAAGTGTCAAGGTCACCCCAGTTTGGGAACTTACCATGGGGTGCATCTTGACTTTCGTTCTATTTTCAGTTCCGCTTTTCTGGGCCCCTTTTTGGCATTCGAGGATCAATTTGGGAACCTGACCTTCTGTATTTTGACGGCCTTTCTCTCGAATAAAAGCCCATCGTCGAAAAGCATGAAGAGCAAGGAGGATTTTAAAAGAAAACAACATGGTGGGCAGCAAGACTCACAAACCAAGTTCCACCGATTTTCACCTATTTTCACTTTTGGGTGTAAAAAACGGTGTGTTCCAAGCATGCGGAATGCCTGCCCCAGTGATGAAATATGATGAAATGTTTGCTTGTACATGCTAATCAAAACCTATCAAGACCTTGCCAGTGGCCAAGTGAGACAATCCAGCAAGGTCGACCTTGAAGCTAAAAAAGGCTGTTTTGGAGTGGAATGAACTGCATCCCGATGCTGCCCCACAAGTTATATCTATACACAATAAATATGTATATAAGTATATGTTTATCTTTGGACCCCCATGTGGCCCACTACTTCCATTATTTCCCCAGTCGTCCGCCAGTCGTACGCTCCCCAGGTGCAGATCAATGGCCGCAATGACACAGAGCGCTGGGGGAGTTGCTAAACGCCGAGGTAGTGGAGCTCATGATTTGTGCCGTGGAGCTAAAGAAAAAACATTGTTGTTCTGCCTCATCATGGCCATTCTAACAGGGAAAATGGTCATGAAATCATGGGGAAGATTGTAGTTGACATTGATGAAGCATGGCAATTTGAGAAATTGGAAATATTTTTAGACAACCAAAGTTTTTGTTGGGGCGTGGGTTGCAGGTTGAATGGTTGGCTGATGACATTTCATTTCTAGCTAAGAATGGAAATATACATATATATATATATATGCCACCTGAAAATGCGGCTCTTTTGAGGGGTGGTTGGGATACTCGATAGCTAGTTAGTCTTTGGAGCGTTGCTACAGCTCACACAACCGCCCGTGCAAAGGCGATATGAAAAGAGTTCTGTTTGGGCTCCAGCCCTTGCATTTTTTTTGACGTGTGTTAAAGGTACTGTACATGTGCAGTTTTCCCCCCTTGGTACAACGCAAGGGGATCAAAAACCGATCATTTGTAGAGTTCCGGGCGTTTTCAATCTGTCAATTTCCATTGGCATATTCGTTTGATACTGATTTGTCCATGCTGTTTTGGTGTCCCAGCATCATTGTTCCAGAGATATCCGTTCATTCATCCTTCTGTTTCATGCAAGTCGAGGGTGAAATGCGTGTTGTTTATTTTTTTTGCTGCAGTTGTTGAAGAAAAACACCATTCGGCAGCTAGCCCTCAGTCACAGACAGGTGCAGCACTCAGCCCTCGGCAGCATTGGGCCTTCGACAAATTCCTGTGGGGAAAGACGCTGGGCTTTGAGTCAAGATTCTTAACCACCCTATGAATGAAATTTAATGGAAAACATATATAATGATGATTGAGTAAACTATTTGAGTTTATTTCCCAATTTTGAGTCATTGATAAATGATAACTAATGTTATTTATGATGATATTCTTAACCATCAGGATTCTTATGAAATGGGTATCTTAGCAAATTCAACCATTAAAATACCCTCCGGTAATCAAACATGGCAATGCGAAATACCCTGTAAATGGCGTTTTGAATGGGAAAATCATCGAACTTACTGTGTGATTGTCCATTGCTATGTATGATTATCGCATGGTATTAATGGATATTAATGGTGATTTAACCAAACAAATGTGGGGGCAAACATCAGGATTAATGGGTAGATGATTTTATATACATGTAATATTGGGACATACGATAGAATGTAGTATGAGCCCAAACTAGCTGGCATTAATAGATGTTCATATGTTTTATTCCCAAAAAATATCAAAAAATGGTATATGTCACATTAATGTCGGTATCATGATTAATCCATAGCCATATGAGGATTCGACCATCCCTCCAGTGATGTGACAGCCTGGTGGCCTGGTTGGTCACCTTTGGGGGTCGTTGAATCCCTTTAGAGGATGGTCACACGGGCAGGGAAAGTTGGCATTTTGATGGTAATTGTATCAACCAGTGAAAAAACGATTTTGGGATTCCACTGGGAAAAAGCAGACAGTGAGAGAGAGAGAGAGAGAGAGACTGGATTGGATTGGATTGGATTGGATTGGATTGGTAATGTTAGTTGGAGGAAGAACCAAAAAATTACCAACACGGCAGGTTTGCGAATAGAATTTGCAAGTGGGGATGGTGACGAGCCGAAATAGCAAATTCAACAACTGAAATATACAAATAAATGTTTTGATTAAAATGAAATATCCTGAGCAAACATGCATATAATAGAGATGCATAAGCAACAAAGGCAGCAAATCAATCAAGAAGAATGATCAAGATTATGATCAAGCACAGATAGCACAGTCAAACACGTGGATGTTGACCAGGTAAGATTGGAGAACTGAGATCGGTGCAGAGCTGCGATCCTTGCGCCATTTGTCCCTCAGCCGCGGGTTGGAAAAAGGTGGACACCACCTCAAATGTGACCTTCACTCAGGTTGATGTGAAACATCTCATACATCTACCTACAAATAAAATATTGTATAATTATTAGTTAATAGTTGTTTATAACATAAAATATCAGAACAGTGATGAACATTGTATATATTGTATATTTAATATGACATAACAGTACAACTCAGTACAACTGATACTTGTTACCTGCCTGGTTTCATCACCTGACCCCGGTAAGGCCATGAAGTGCGCCCGTCTCAAGGAGTGGCTCCAGCCGCAGCCAGGCGCTCCGAAGTTGGGGACAAATTTTTTAATAGAGTACACTGGAATATATATATATATATATAATGAAATTATGATTCACAAAAATTAATAGATAGATTATATATGTATTATCGAAAATAAATGAACTTAATTATATATTACACACACATATATATATATATGGGTTATAGGCTAGGTTGATGATTATAGGACATTATAAGGTGATCGTATATTACCAATATATGAATGGAAATCGCCTTTGACGCGACGCCGAAGACCGCTCCAGCGAAATGGTGCTGATAGTGGTCACCCGCAATGCTTTGCGCCAAATTTCAGGCTCTAAAATATGGTGAATTACGATTTATGCGAGAACGATGTTCTGAAATTGGCTCATGCAATCCATGTTCTGCATTTTTTTTGGTTGGTGCATCACCCGTGGAGCCCCCCAGCAATTCCCGCAATGCTACCGTGTATGACATTGACACGCCTATCCTTTCACAACTTGGAATCTGATTCTCCAACATCTTCAACGACTGAGAGGGAAACTCTTGTTCATGGAGTAATTTTGTCAGCTGGCTGGTGTGCCCAGCTGCTTTCATTCTCAGGAGGAAAAAAAAAGGTTCCAAAATCTGATGGACTTGCAACATGTCAAGATATTGACACTTGAACTATGATGTTTCATACATGAGAATGTTTCATTTCATGTCATTATGTAAAGAAGCATCATCGAATTCTTTGGATCCGGCAACAAAATGCCATGAAGCAGCCGGCGGACGATGCGCCGGAACCGGGCAACAAGAGAGCTGCTGTGAGCACCAAAGCTGCAATTGGGGGTTTCAATTTTTGAAGTTCTGGAGGCTTCCTGGGTCATGGAGGGTATCCAAGGGACTTATCCATTTCAATCGGAAAAAAATCCATTCCAAACTCCAAACCATCTCTCAACGGCCTTGGACTCCCCAGATCCTTGGGTCCCAGGTGCAGATGGCCGCAAGGCTACTTACCTGGTTCATGACAACGGTGGTCGTCCCTTCAAGATCTCAGTCCAGCGGCAGCCTGGTGATCCAAAGGCCCAGGTTCAGGTCTTTAAGGCCATCTACGATGAGGAAATGCCAAGATATGAAGAAGAGCCTTGTATCTCCTTTTCTGCAGAGAGGGTTTTTGTCGGTCAGAGTCCCAAGCACGCCAAGCACCGTGCTCGCTTTGATGGAAATTCCCTGTTGCTGCACTTGGAGGGTTTGAAGTATGTGTTTGTTGGAGAGAATGTGTTCGCCTTTACAGCAAAATACCCCATCACAAAGTATGTCTCGCCCGTGGGCAATAATGACGTCCCTTACCCTTGGGCCATGGATGAACAAGGTTTCCGATATTTGATGATCAGCTCCGTCATTGTGACCGGCAAGCTTTTCGAGAACAGTGACACCGACCCTTACGATCTGTTCTTCGACCGGGCTCTGATGACCGCGGACATCGGTATGGTGCCTCCAAAGCAACCTTTCCACGCACAGTTTCAGGGCATCACCGAATTCTGGATCGGCGAAAACCAGTACACCTTCCGATACGAGCCGCATCCTGAAAAAGACTTCGACCGCTTGTCACGGAGGGGAGAGCTCTCTGTGGTGAAAGGTAGTGAAAAGATCAAGCTCTCAAAGGATGATTATGTGACGCTGATGCAAGACTTTGCTGATTTAGCTGGCTTTGAAACTCTCCACAGTGAGACATTGGTTGAACGTCACATTTGACCGATTTGACCGGTGGTCGTCATTGAAAACGATTGCGCTGCACTTTTGTTTTAACCAGGCTTCCGACCCGCAGGAATGAACCAATGATGGGATTCAATGGATATGGTTGGTTGATTAGTTCCAGTGTTACACAACCCATTTGAGTGTTTCTGAAAATGGACAACCCGAACATCATACCTTTTTAAGAACTTGGATGATTTGGGGGCAATACAATTTTGAGAAACAACCCATTGAGAGGCATTCGAAATACATTAGAAATACCCTGGTAGGTGGCTCAGTGGGTTTGATGAATGAGAATTGTTATAAGCCAGGGTTGTTTTACTGTGGCAAATGTGCTGCTAGAGTTCCATTTACATACATTTACACATGTTATATTTGACCCGTTGTTGCTGCTCAAGAAACAGATGGAGTTTTAAAAAAAACACGGATTTATGACACTTAACCACAACAAAACGACAAAACGGGTCAAACCTTTCAACGCCCCTCCGAAATTTGAATAATGTTGGTGCATGTTGGTGCATGAACCTCCCACTATGCTCAATAGTCCCAAAAAAAAATCGCTGGATGGTGGATGTAGGGCATGAAAACCACATAGAATTTGGCTGTAACTAAATTTTAATTAGGGGATTGCATGTTGTTGTGCCTTCATTTTTTGCTAAAGTCGACTGAACATATTTGCATATGGGTTTGTCTGAAAATAGGGTACCCCACGATCCAATGGTTTATCATCAATTTCAATGATTTTCCCTGTAATTTTGGGGGTACACTTCATTTTCAGACCAAACCCATCTAAGAAATGTTCTGACTTTTTGACACATGGACGGGCCGACTTGAAATCCTGCCCCATCCTGCAGCGTCTCGTCCCATCCCTCAACAAAGGGTCTACTGGACGACCAGAACATCACATCATTGGAAATGGGTAATCCACATGGGTTTATCCAAAAATAGGTCATTGCCACCCAAAACTACTGGTGAATCATTACCTTTTCTATTGAAATGCCATGAAATGCCATGAAATGCCCATGGCTCATGCGTGCCCACCAATTGTATGTAGAAAAGCGATCTCTGTCCCAGAATTAGTTTATGCGAAAATCTACTGGGCATAAATCCTGTTTTTGTGGCATGTCAAAGCTATGATTTGCTGCATTTTTTCTTTCAAACCAGTGACAAAGTGGAGTTTACTTATTATTTATCTCTTGCAGCTTGAAAATCAACACCAGAATATGGGTTTGTTTGAAAATATGGTAACCAATATGGTACCCTATTGTTTTTTGGTTTATCACTACTAGATCGCATATTTGGGGGTATACCCTATTTTTAAGACACACCTACAGAAAAGTTGACCTGAAAAATCGATAGGATTCCGGGTGGTCCACCGCAGTGTCAACACCTAGACTTAGACTTGACCACGGTCAAGTTGCGGATGGAATTTGATTATGAGACAAGAGAGCTTAAATCAAATTAAATCAATTTGGGTAAATTTGATCGCGACCTCACTGCGACCAAACCCTGGAATCATTGTTATAAGTAAGGGAAATCATCCTCAAATGGCCTTAATTCAGATTAGTGAAATATTATAATTTACCTAGATCAATGTGTTTCCACTTAAGGAATATGTCAAGGATTTCGCACAACATGTCGATGACACATACTCAGCCAGATGTGTTGCCTATCCAACCAATCATGTCAATGATTATCCTCCAACTCATTTACTACATCATAGTCATAGTATATCACACAATTATGATACTCTGGGGTAAAAGTAGATGGCTCAGAATCTTGAGTTGCGCCATCTATGTCAAAAAAAAAATGGGGGATAGATGGCTCAACTCCCTTTAAAACAGGTCAGTTGAGCCATCTATGTCCCTAAAAATGACATATTTTTTGCAATCTTCTGCGCTGGTTTCTCCCCATAATTTTTTCTCAACATCAAGCTGCTTTTTTGGGACATAGATGGCGCAACTCCCGGAGTTGCGCCATCTATGTGGGCATTCCCAGCCTGATTTTGGCGAAATGACGGAAGTTGTTTTGGGCCAGCAAAGGTCGAGACGCTTTAAAACCCAATTTTAACAAGTGACCTGAGGAACCGTTTTGGCCGTCAAGAAACGGTTCCTCAGGTCACTTGTTAAAATTGGGTTTTAAAGCGTCTCGACCTTTGCTGGCAAAATGACGGAAGTTGCGCCATCTATGTCCCAAAAAGGACAACTCTGATGTCTTTCCTGGTGGTTTTGCCTCCTGTCCTGGGACAACTCTGATGTCTTTCCTGGTGGTTTTGCCTTCTGTCTTGGGATAACTCTGATCGATGTGGCATATTTTGGTTAGGTTGGTTGATGGATGTCGGGAGAATGAGGGAGTTGCGCCATCTATGTGGGCATTCCCAGCCTGATTTTAGCGAATGAGTGGGAGTTGCGCCATCTATGTCCCAAAAAGGCAGCTTGATGTTGAGAAAAAAATGGGGGGAAACCAGCGCAGTGCCAGTTTTCCACTTGGGTCCGCCCCAGAAAACGGAACCCACCAAGTGTCAAGTTTCCTTTGGGAAACTCAGGAAAAAGCCCTTTTTCGGGGGACTTGGTGGGGACCGTTTTCCGGGGCCAAGCAAAGTGGCAAATTGCCAGAGCGCAGAAGATGGCAAAAAATATGTGATTTTTAGGGACATAGATGGCGCAACTCCCACTCATTTTTATTTTTTTTCAATATTTTTTGTCAAAACATGTTGAAAAATGAGATTTCTAGCCATAAAATTCTGTCCACAATCACTTTAAAAACATTCAGTGGTTCATTTTCAAGGTATTGCAATGGATTTTTTCGAAGATTTGAATGCGATTTAAGGGACATAGATGGCGCAACTCATTCTTGAACCCATCGAAAAAGAAATTTCTGGCGTTTGAATGGGATTTAAGGGACATAGATGGCGCAACTCATTTTTAGGAAAAAAAACTAGGGGAATTGTATATATACATATATAGTATTTGCAATACAAACATGTGCAATCTTCAGTATAAACAAACAAAAATGATCGGACATGTAGTAAAATTAGTTAAGATTATATACCCTTATGTCCATCTACTGGAGTGGCAGTTGCGCCATCTACCTTTTCATTTTAAAGTAGGGCGATTTTTCTTCAATTGGCGGACCTCGTTTTATGTTCCAGCTAAAATAGCGCCATATTCTTTCTCACCCCGCGGTGCCATCTTATGGGTATTTTGGTTTTTGAGTTGAGCCATCTACTTTTAGGGGGGTATATTTAGTAAATCATGTGTTCATCATTAGTAAACATAATATTTACCAATTATGGTTGCAAGATGGTTTAATCCGCCTTCTAAGTGGTTACATCATGAACCATCTGACTTGGCCTTGAACGACTAGTTACGCCAATGTCACGTGCATAGCGTGAAGTAAGGGCGAGGAGCCCGTGTTTTCGGGACATCGGGAGCTGGTAGGCACCTAATCAATGTCTATTCATACATATGGTTATATGGTATGTATAATATTTAATTGGTGGACGCAGACTGATTTACATATATTATATATATATATACATGGGTATGCACCTTTCTAGTGGAAGATTGGTTTGTAGGGGCAACTATCCCAAAATGGCCTTATTTCAATTCCGTGGGTATATTTGTACATGTGTGTATAACATACTATTTTATACAAATGCTGATGCTTTATACAGAAGTATATTGTGTGGGTGATACGATCTTTCCATTCTGTATCTATATGACCAAGAATATATTGGTAACGTTCATCATCCACCAAAGCGGACTGAGTTTTTCGACACCTGCAGGTGTCCTTCGTGCAACCACGCAGTGCTGTTCGGCTCGCCCTAGTGGGCGACAAACCATGTGGACAGCTGCTTAGGTTGGTGGTTTCAATGATCATGATGTTCATCCCAAATAGTCAGGAAGATGACACCAAGATCTGGGACTGATACTGTATGTTTTTCTGGGTTATATAACGGGTTTGACCTCAGGTGACGTCTATTTTTCCAATAGAAAATTCACCATTTGGTGAATCTACAAGGGGTGATAGGTGATACTGTATGTGTTTTTGGGGGGATCCTTAAGCAAATCTGCGTTTTCGGGTGCTTTGATTGACACCACCAACCGGTATACAGTAGTTTGCCGCGTCAGGCTGCTGGGTGTCTTCCGATTTTTGTCAAGAGTGTGGGCAGTTCAGGGCAGTTCAGCGTCTTCACTAGAAACCAGGGACACCAAGAAACGGGCCGCACTGCTAGTGGGGTTTGCCATACATGCAGACCTGCGCGGCAGAAACTGTTGAGTCTTTTGATTAGTTTTGGGGACATGGCCAGTATAGTAAAAGCAGCAAATGACTGACTTGGCAAATCCATGAATTTGGGCGGCTCTGTCAGAAGCATCGTGCTGATTGTTTTTTCGTTCATGGAGCATGCGAAGTTTTGTCCTGCCTGCCAGGGTTATTTTCGGAACCCTTGTGGAAACCACGCCGCCAAACCCACATGCCATACCAAGTCGTTTCCTCCACAGGAAGTTTCCAGGGTTCCATGACCTTTCAGGATCCAATTGGGATCCTATTTTCCAGTGTGGCTTGAGCCGCTCCGGTGACCATCCATTTCCAGAAGCTTTGCAGTAAAAATGGACTTGTGGTTGGATCCATGCTGCGCCTCTGAGCTGGGCCACTTGAAGCATCAAGAGCAAATTGCTGGCTACCTGCTATAATCTGTTGGTGTTTCTGTAGAGTCCAGATGTCCTTGACTTTTTCGACAGCAATATGTAAATGATTCTTGAGTTGAAAGTTATATTAGTGCGGACTAAAATTCAAACCTGGCAGAATTACAGGTGTTGATCAGATTCAAATTTGCACATGGCGGGGTTGGGGATGCCGATCCCTGGCCTTTTGCAAGACCAAGTGACTCAACTGCACAGTCACCTCAAAGACGCAGATGTTGGTCCCTCATGGTGACTGTAGTGATAAAATCGTTCAATCCTTGTGGTAGCTTGATGACCATGTTCCCAGAGAATTTCAATATGCCTTGATCATTTCCAACGTC